CGAATGGGGGCGGCAGTTTGTGATCGGGGATTTCCCAAATTGCACGGTTGGTATCGGTCAGCACTGATCGAGAAAGGAAGCGATGATACAGCGTGTTCCGAAAACTGATCTAGAAGATTCTTGGATGCTAGCCGCCGAGAGTCGCAGGATTCAAATTCAGTGAATTCTCAATTTGCGCGGTTGGCAACGGCAATTGGAATAAAGGAGAGTGTGCAGATACAGAGTGATTTACAGATCTCGATTTTTCAGGGAGCCTTGTTGCCAAGGACAACACTATGAACTCGGTGAAGTCTCATTTTTCATGGTTTGCACTAGTCATCCCGAAAAAAGGAGAGTGCGTGTATACAGCGTGTTCCTAAAACTGCTCCCGCTCCTCCACGGATCTTTGTTGCCAAGTAGCCCAGGATTAACTTGGTGAATTTTCAATTTTCACGGTTGGCAGCAGTCTTCCCCGCCGGAGGCGGAAAGCACGGATACAGGGTGTTCCAAGGAACCAACCTGCACAGATCATCGATGCTCTGTTCGAATGGGGGCTGCAGTTTGTGATTGGGGAATTCCCAAATTGCACGGTTGGCATCGGTAAGCACTGATCGAGAAAGGAAGCGATGATACAGCGTGTTCCGAAAACTGATCTTGAAGATCCTTGGATGGTTGCCGCCGAGAGTCGCAGGATTCAAATTCAGTGAATTCTCAATTTGCGCGGTTGGCAGCGGTCATTCGGAATAAAGGAGAGTGTGTAGATACAGAGTGTTCCTAAAGGTGATCTCGATTTTTCAGGGAGCTTTGTTGCCAAGGAACCCACTATGAACTCGGTGAAGTCTCAATTTTCATGGTTGGCACTAGTCATCCCGAAAAAGGAGAGTGCGTGTATACAGCGTGTTCCTAAAAGTGCTCCCGCTCTTCCACGGATCCTCGTTGCCGAGGAGCCCAGTATCAACTTGGTGAATTTTCAATTTTCACGGTTGGCAGCAGTCGTCCCCGTCGGAGGCGGAAAGCGCGGGTACAGGGGGTTCCAAGGAACCGACCTGCTCGAATCATGGATGCTCTGTTCGAATGGGGGCGGCAGTTTGTGATCGGGGATTTCCCAAATTGCACGGTTGGTATCGGTCAGCACTGATCGAGAAAGGAAGCGATGATACAGCGTGTTCCGAAAACTGATCTAGAAGATTCTTGGGTGCTTGCTGCCCAGAGAGGCAGGATTCAAATTCAGTGAATTCTCAATTTGCGCGGTTGGCAGCGGTCATTCGGAATAAAGGAGAGTGTGTAGATACAGAGTGTTCCTAAAGGTGATCTCGATTTTTCAAGGAGCCTTGTTGCCAAGGAGCCCACTATGAACTCGGTGAAGTCTCAATTTTTATGGTTGGAAGCAGTCATCCCGAAAAAAGAAGAGTGCGTTTATACAGCGTGTTCCTAAATGTGATCCCGCTCTTCCACGGATCCTCGTTGCCGAGGAGACAAGTATCAACTTGGTGAATTTTCAATTTTCACGGTTGGCAGCAGTCGTCCCCGTCGGAGGCGGAAAGCGCGGGTACAGGGGGTTCCAAGGAACCGACCTGCTCGAATCATGGATGCTCTGTTCGAATGGGGGCGGCAGTTTGTGATCGGGGATTTCCCAAATTGCACGGTTGGTATCGGTCAGCACTGATCGAGAAAGGAAGCGATGATACAGCGTGTTCCGAAAACTGATCTAGAAGATTCTTGGATGCTAGCCGCCGAGAGTCGCAGGATTCAAATTCAGTGAATTCTCAATTTGCGCGGTTGGCAGCGGTCATTCGGAATAAAGGAGAGTGTGTAGATACAGAGTGTTCCTAAAGGTGATTTCGATTTTTCAAGGAGCCTTGTTGCCAAGGAGCCCACTATGAACTCGGTGAAGTCTCAATTTTTATGGTTGGAAGCAGTCATCCCGAAAAAAGAAGAGTGCGTGTATACAGCGTGTTCCTAAAACTGCTCCCGCTCCTCCACGGATCCTTGTTGCCGAGTAGCCCAGGATTAACTTGGTGAATTTTCAATTTTCACGGTTGGCAGCAGTCTTCCCCGCCGGAGGCGGAAAGCACGGATACAGGGTGTTCCAAGGAACCAACCTGCACAGATCATCGATGCTCTGTTCGAATGGGGGCTGCAGTTTGTTATTGGGGAATTCCCAAATTGCACGGTTGGCATCGGTCAGCACTGATCGAGAAAGGAAGCGATGATACAGCGTGTTCCGAAAACTGATCTTGAAGATCCTTGGATGGTTGCCGCCGAGAGTCGCAGGATTCAAATTCAGTGAATTCTCAATTTGCGCGGTTGGCAGCGGTCATTCGGAATAAAGGAGAGTGTGTAGATACAGAGTGTTCCTAAAGGTGATCTCGATTTTCCAGGAAGCCAACTATGAACTCGGTGAAGTCTCAATTTTTATGGTTGTCACAAGTCATCCCGAAAAAAGGAGAGTGCGTGTATACAGCGTGTTCCTAAAAGTGCTCCCGCTCTTCCACGGATCCTCGTTGCCTAGGAGCCCAGGATCAACTTGGTGAATTTTCAATTTTCACGGTTGGCAGCAGTCGTCCCCGTCGGAGGCGGAAAGCGCGGATACAGGGTGTTCCAAGGAACCAACCTGCACGGATCATCAATGCTCTGTTCGAATGGGGGCGGCAGTTTGTGATCGGGGATTTCCCAAATTGCACGGTTGGTATCGGTCAGCACTGATCGAGAAAGGAAGCGATGATACAGCGTGTTCCGAAAACTGATCTAGAAGATCCTTGGGTGTTGCCGCCCAGAGAGGCAGGATTCAAATTCAGTGAATTCTCTATTTGCGCGGTTGGCAGCGGTCATTCGGAATAAAGGAGAGTGTGTAGATACAGCTTGTTCCTAAAGGTGATCTCGATTTTTCAGGGAGCCTTGTTGACAAGGAGCCCACTATGAACTCGGTAAAGTCTCAATTTTTTGGCCTTGTCCACACGAACGCGGTTCGCGGAACTCAGTTCGAGGAACTTGTTCCCGTAACGAGTTTTTTGCTGAGCTGAAACTTATTCCTCCAAAACCTGGAATTTCCCCCGTGCTCCGAGCTTCTAAATATGTTTCTTTTGATGCGAATTTGCTTGTTTTTGTTTTTCACGTCCTTTACATATGATCTTGACATTTATTTTTGATACTTTGGCGGTCATTATTATCTATTATTTTGCAATAATTGTATAGTTTTATTGAAGTTCCGGTGCCAGTTCGGACGAACCCGTCTGGTCAGCATGCCTCGTTTCAAGGAATAAGTTCCGGGAACTGAGCAAGTTCGAGGAATTCGTTTCGCGAACTGCGCTCGTGTGGACAAGGCCTCATGGTTGGCAGCTGTCATCCCGAAAAAAGGAGAGTGCGTGTATACAGCGTGTTCCTAAAAGTGATCCCGCTCTCCTTTCGTTCTTTCGAGGAGGTGTGTGTTGTACAATAGTGTTGCGTCCACACAATTTTGCTGGGAAAACAAGGCCAAATAGTTCGAAAAAAAAAGAAATCAAAAAGTTCTCTTTGGCCTCGTTTCCCCCGCAAAATAGTGTGGATGCAGCACTATTTTACCATTTTTCTGCAATTAACGCTGCATGGTATAGTCAAAAAGCAACACGGAACGGCAATTTAAATTTGAAAAAGTAATACCTAAAATTTGATACATTTTGGCATGGTGCCTTGAATGAAATTTTGACAAGAGATGAATGGACAAATGGATATCGGACCTTTGCACGCTAAAAGGAAGTATGTTGCATGCAAATAGTTCCCTTTAGCATACATAAGTCAAGCTTAGTAATCAATGGCGTGGCGTGAATTGCGATGTATCGATTGTTATGCCATTTAAACCTATGGTAAAGAATCGATTATGAAGGTGTTCGCTATGAACACCTTGTTTATCGATCCTTTTCCATAAATTTAAATGGCATAACAATCAATATATCGCAAATCACGCCAAGCCACTGATGATCATAGAACAGAACTTTTAACAACGTGGACGAGGGATTAAATAGAAACATAGACGCCAGTTTTGTCACCTGTTGCTAATCATGCTAATAATTCTCGATTTTCCTTGTTTGTTTCAGATGCGGCTGAAGAAACGGGCTTGGGGGAGGGATCGCTGAGGGGGGAGGTTCCCATGGAAGGGGGGTTCGTAGGGTTGGGAAGTATCGCGGATTGAGGATTCCCAGGGGGGAGAGTCCCGGGGAAAGGGGGGTACGTGGGGTTGGGTGCGGCATCGCGGGCTAGGGTTGCCTAGGGGGGTTCCCGGGGAGAGGGGGGAATTTCGTGGGGTTTAAGTAGGATCGCGGAGTAGGGTTTCCCAGGGGGGAGGGGGCGCGGAGTAGAATCACGGGGGGAGGAGTAGGATTTTTTTTTTTTTTTTTCTGCGACTGGCTTGCCAAGAATAAGGAATTACGTAAAAGTGCTTAAGCAACAATAAGTAAAATTAATGTTATAAAAATGTTGAATAATGGCAAAATTACAGCAAAATCGTGGGAGAAGCACCAGTTGTTCACTACCTAACGTTATGATGAGTGATAACAAATCCGCCGTATTGCCGATCGACTTTTTACAACCTATTTTTCCAATTATTCCTCTATTTGAACAAAAGGAATCTTAACCGCAAATTCTGAACCAGACGCTTTGATTGGTCCAGAGCGGTTCATTCCAATTATTCCGAGTTGAACCAAAACAAGCGGGAATTTCAAATAATTCCGGATATCCTGTCTACCAAATCGTTTCCGTTTCCGGTAAACAGTGTTGTCAGTTTTCCGAGCATTGATAAATAAAACTGACAACACCACTTTACCGGAAACGGAAACTATTTGGTAAACAGGATATCCGGAATTATTTGAAATTCCCGCTTATTTTGGTTCAACTCGGAATAAATGGAATGAACCGCTCCAGACCAATCAAAGCGTCTGGTTCAGAATTTGCCGTTAAGATTCCTCCTGTTCGAAAAGAGGAATAATTGGGAAAATGTAGCAATTTGAAAAAAGTTTTGAGGTTAGGTAGGATTGTATAATAATAATACAATACGTCAAGCCGTCTTGTGTACACTTATCTTATCGTTCTTCGTCCTGTTGTCTGTTGGTAAAGAAACAGTAGTTCTCGCGTAGCTTGCATGTCTCTTTTCAATTTAATTCGATCAATGAATAATCGCACCATCAAATGAGTTTGTATCCATCAACATATCTCAGCAATCAGCTCCTTATTGCTTGTGAGTGCACAACCTACCATGTACTTTCATATTCGGACTAGAGAACTATTCATCTGGTCAATAAATTTGCAGATCAGACCGAATTACTGAACCCACTTATGCATGTTACTTATGTACACCATGATCCTCTGGTGAGTTAATACATATCATTTCTAGCACGCGTATCTATGTACCGCGCCACTCCGAGGAGAGCGCTAGTGCCTTGTTAATAAAATGTATCACCACATCGGATTCTTTGCCAAATTTTTCGTCAATCCCAACAAGCTTGACCAGAGACAAAGTGTTTCTCTCCACCCTATAATTAAATGCAGAATGTCCTGGTTAAGAAGTAATTTGTTTACATCTAGCTGATCCCAGTGGTCCACTTAAGAACGGCCCCTTACAATATCAGATATTAATTGGATACTTAAAGGTCAAGGTTGAATGTCAGCACTAGCAGTTTCAATCAAACTATAAAAGAAACTAGCACTTGTGGAGTTCCCGTAGGATCTAGATGTGTAAATGATCTGTCGCTAAACGTCAGTCAGAAAAAAAATATCGCAGATACTCAGATTGGGGAAACCTAATCTGATAGAGAACAGAAAATGAGCCGAGCAATACAGTTGACTTTGAAATTTGAAACTGTGGGCACAACGTTTTGAACTTGAAAATTAAGAACTTTGTCCTCTGTCCACAGGTAACATATCCAACCATTATTTGCTCTTCCTACAAGTTGGACAAGCAGGATAAAAGATGCAAAGTATTGGAGGGTAGCCAATTTATTAACAAGAACCATCATCAAAGATGGAGGAGTGCCATGATCACGAACCACTCGGGATGGAAGCAGAACCTGAGGTCATTCTCACTGAAGGTATGCAAAGATCGGACTGGATTGAACAATAAGGAACCAAGCCACATCAGCTATTGCCAAATAATTGGGCACTTTGATTTTTTGCTTGAAAACGGTTGTGCGAATTTTCGTGCAAATTTTAGTGAATTTTCTCCATAGTACGAAGCAAATTCCTTAGTAGTTTCAAAGGAATCCGCACAAACGTTCTCTCGTAAAGAATTAAACTGCCCAATTAATTTTGGTAATCTGTTAAATGCGGTCCCATTGTAGTAGTAGTAGTATTAGTAGCAGTAGTAGTATTACTAGTGCTGGGCTGGGCTGGGCTGATTGGCAGAGGTGCTCTCAAGGAGTCTATGCACTGGCAACTGATTTTGTGAATCCTGAAGTTTGACTGTGCTCCATAACACATAAGACTAACACCTACCATGTACCCCAGCAAGGCTCAGCGGTCATCTTTTAAGCCAATGATAAGTTGTATTGGTCCCAACTCCAGGAGATGCTGCAGAGCATGGAATTTTTAGGAGCTTGGTCATGTCCTCACCGAGTTGGGCTCTGTTCAAACACATCTACCTCATCTATGATTTATTCACAAAATAGCTAAATAATGCTCTTTACCGGATGGGCTTGTCCCTTGCCCACCCTGCCGCCTCCAAAGGACCGAAGTGTTGAAGTGGCATGGTCACCCACACTGTCAATCTAAAGAAAAACGCTGTATGAATCTTCAGTCATTGCCATATCTCCTTCAATAAGTAAGGAATTTACTAGGAAATTTGTTAACATTTTTCTTGAAATCTTTCAGAAAATTTTACCTGCAATTCAGTCTAAAATATCTGAAAACAAGCATAACTTTCCCAAAAAATACATGTTTGATCCGGAGTAATTTGGCAACTCTGGATACGCTTTTCCCCAGCACGGCAGCACAGCCATTATGACAGATTTTTTAGTGTCCTTAAAAATCCATCACCATTGAGGATTGGACTTGAGACCGGACCTCAGTACTGGGGCAAACTGCATTGACCGCTACACTACCAAGGCTTGTTAGAATACTAGCACAGTAAAGTAAGATATCAAATGGTTTAGGCAAATAGGCATCAACCGAAGGATCATGGGGGAAAAGGTTAGCTAGTTGTCTGAACATCTTTCACCAACGCATTGATAGAGCTCCTGTGCTCATGCTCTGCATGACGAGCCTGTGAAGCACAGGAGATTTCATGACAAAAGGAATAGCTGTGTCGCCAACGATTTTAAGAGATCCAAGACAAAAAAAGTCCAAAAAAGAGGTGATAAATTGTAAGAAACAGTTTCTTTGAGTTTGTTAATTCAAAACTTTGTGATAAATTATCAGTACATCTGGAATAATGAGACTTAAAAGACCAAAATTAATTTCAGGGGGGCATTAAAATTGCATGCACACATCATATTTTGGATGTTTGCAGATACTCTTCGAATAAATGTCGAAAATCTTCTGCTTAGCTTTACAAAGACTTATTCTATTTTTATGGAGTGCTGTTTTATTGTTTAATTTGTAAAGTAGATCTATCTGAAGCCAGTAATGTGGTGAAAACTGCAATTTTTGTTCAGAAGCATTAAAGTTTGACAAAAAAAATATAAATTTCCAGGTGAATTCCATGAAGACTCAACTGCAATTCCCTCTAAAAGCATTGAGATTGATCCTTTAGGAGGCTTAGATGTTCATTTCGAGGCCACTTCTGCGTTTATTCCTGATGATGGAGGCACCTCTTCACCAGAAGTACCAACCCCAGCAACATTGTCCATGGTGGAAAGTATGGAATATAAGGCCTCGACCTCAGGTAAAGGAAACAATGCATAATCATTCATAGTCTGATTTTTGTTTCCCAGACAAAGAAATAAGTATAACCTCGTTCCTAAATTGCAACATTAATTTAAACAACTCAATTTTTTTACAAGAATATAATAATGTAATTCTTTTTCAAAACTTGTCCATGTGGGGCTTGTAATCAGAAGAAAAAAATCAGAAGAAAAATCAATGCAAATTTCAGTTAAAAACTTTCAAAAGTTTTCCTTTAAGAATTCGTTGTGCAAGTGGAAATTTTGTATCGTTGAAGTGTGCACTTTTTTTAAGAAAAAAAAAAAAACTGACTCCTCAAGTACCATGAACCATTAGACAAGGTGAAAAGTTTGCAGGGCATCATAAGAATGTTTTTTTTTCTTTTTTTTTAAAGTATCTCAGAAATACATAATTTTAAACATAATTTACAAGTCCTTAAACAACATACAAAAAAAAAGTCTTATTAATCATAAGAATGTTGCTTCATCTAACGCACATGCAAAACACATTGATTGTATTAGAAATTCCCAAAAATCAACTCAAAAGTGAGAAGTTAAAGATCATTCTTCATATCATTATGAGTCAATTAATATTCTTGCGCACCAAGAAAAAGGAAAAACAGAATCATCCTAGAACAAATCAGCCACTAAAAGCGAACTTTCTGTTTTGCAAATTACCAGAATTTGGTTTTGCAATCTCTCATTTTCTGACGCTCAGCTTTTATAAACTCACTTGTGTTTCATCGTTTTAACAGAGGACTGAACTAAATAACATCGTGAAACTTTCTATGAATTTTCTATAGATTACAAATAATGAATACACAAAATTTCAGGTCTCAGTTTCACTTAATTTTCTCTCCAAAATTTAAGGAATCAGAGAAAATCTGACAATGTCTGTTTTAGATCGACCATTTCTAGTTAAATTCATGCAAATGTATTTGTTCCCTTTTTTCCAGTCCATCAGCAGAGCAATCAACAAAAGACTACTCCTGAAACAACACCGCATTCTGAACGAAGAGGACTAAACTTAAACGCTCTTGGAGAAGACAGAATCAAGTCGAATTACGGTTTCTCGGAAGAAAATGTCATGGACATGAGAGAAATCCCCGACCAAACTTCAATGGATGTAGGGGAAGAATCGCATCAGGTAACTCCTACGCTACTGAGGTTCCCATCCTCCATTTCTATTGTTCCGCCTCTAATGCTCGCTAACTCTTCTATCAAAGCAAGTCTGCAGTTAAGCTCAACAAAAAGTGAAAATAAATCCCCAGACAACCCCAGTAGTGAAAAACTTGATAATGTCTCTTCAGAGACAAGCCCTGCCATTGATGGAAAAGAGTTTGCCCCTGCAAATCGCCTAGATCAGTCTATATCAAAAGGCAGAGGAAAACCATTCTCCTTCAATTGCTATTTAGATCAGATTAAATCGAAAGGCAGAGGAAAACCATTCTCCTTCAATTGCTATCTAGATCAGTTCAACACATCAACCAGTGTGAAAAAACATCCAGAGGCTCCATCAAATGAGAGGCCCTTCGCTTGTTCATTGTGCCCAGCACAGTTCAAAGACAACAGTGGTTTGAATCGCCATTTAAAAACCCACTCTGGTGAAAAATCATTTCCGTGTGTGCATTGTCCGGAAAAGTTCAACAATAAAAATGACCTTAACAATCATTTACAAACACACGTGAAAGAACGGCCTTATTCCTGCAAAGTCTGTCCCGCTCGATACCAGAAGCAAAGCCATCTTGATATCCATTTGCGTAACCACTCGGATGACCAACCATATCCCTGTGATCAGTGCCCTGCACGCTTCAAAGTTAAAAACAGCCTCACGCAGCATTTGCGATCTCATTCCAACGAGAGGCCTTTTGCTTGTGCTCAGTGTCCAGCTCGATACAAAGATAAATGTGGTCTTAGAAGGCATTCACGAAGTCATTTGGGTGAAAAATCCTTCTCTTGTGAAAACTGTCCAGCCCAGTTTAAGAATGAGGGTTATCTTAAGCGACATATAAAGATGAAGGTATGTTCTCAGCTAGAGTTTAATGATAGGATGAGCGTCAAAGAGCATACCCAAACTCATGCTAGTGAGCTATTATACCGTTGTCCAGACTGCACTATGAAATTTGATAATAAGGAGAGTCTAAGGTTACATTTTGAAAACCACTTGCGAAGTCCTGATCCTGATGAAAGATCCTACGTTTGTGACCACTGTAAAGCTCAATTCCAAGATAAAAAGAGTGTCAGGCGACATCTCCAAGTATGCGATGGCGTGAATAAAGAAACATCATCAGATCTAAAGGAGATCCTTCTCACTGGCACCGAAGACAAAGCCTCTATTTACCAGCAATTTTTGACGAACTTATACAATAAGGAAGAGTTAGAGAAACGTTTATTCGCTAATCCTGATGAAAAACTGGAAAAAAACTATGTCTGTGAACATTGTTCTGCACAATTTAAGCACAGGTTTTCCTTCACTCAACACTTAAAAGTCCACTCAGATGAGCGACCGCACGCTTGTAATCAGTGCCCGAGTACATTTAAGGACAAACAGAGTCTCAAGGAGCACTTTAAAACTCATTCTACGGAGAGACCATGGTTTTGTACCCTATGTGGTGCTAGTTTTAAGGATAAGAAGTGTCTCAAGCGACATATAAGAACTCATTCTGATGAGAGACCATTCATTTGCCAACTTTGTTTATCTGGATTCAAAACAAGAGGCGACCTGAAGAAACACTATAGGACTCACTCCGGGGAAAGACCTTACTCATGTGATATTTGCCAAGCTCAGTTTAAGAAAGGAAGTTCCCTCAAGAAACATCGGTTATCACATTCCGATGAGAGACCGTTTTCTTGCGAACTTTGCCCAGCGACTTTCAAAGATAAAGGTGGTCTCAAGCAACATTATCGATCCCACTCAACTGAAAGAGCTTTCTGTTGCCAACTCTGTCCAGCAGAGTTTAAGGATAGGCAGACTCTTGCGTATCATTTCTTTAGTCACACCAGTGAGAGACCGTTTGCCTGCGAGCTCTGTGATGCTCGCTTTAAAGACCGAAAATGCCTCAAGCGGCATGAAATAATTCACTCTGCCGAAAGACCTTATTCCTGCGAGCATTGCTCTGCAAGTTTTAGACGGAAAAGTTATCTCACTGAGCATTTAAAAATTCACTCAGACGCTACTCCGTTCTCCTGTGACCAGTGTAATGCCCAGTTTAAAGAAAAATCGTATCTAACGAGGCATTTACGAACTCACTCTGAGGACAGACCTTTCCCGTGTGAAAAATGTCAATCACAGTTTAAAGACAGGAAAAGTCTCAACCGCCACTTAAAAACCCATGTTGATGTCAGAGCTTTTGTGTGTGAGCAGTGTCCTGCAACATTTAAATGTAAAAAAAGCTTAAAAGGACATACTATCACGCACACGGAGGTAAAGTCTTTTGCCTGTGAACTTTGTTCTACTCAATTTAAATACAAGAAAGGTCTCGTGCGGCACATGCGCACACATTTCGATGGCCGGCCTTTTTTCCTTGAATCATTGTTGTGCACTATGCCTGCCAGTTCCTCTGAGAGTCGTGAAAACGAAGAGATGAATGAAGCTGTTCAACACATGAATGAAGTCGCTCAAGACATGAATGAAGCCGTTCAACACAGGAATGAAGCCGTTCAACACACGAATGAAGCCGTTCAACACACGAATGAAGTCGTTCAACACACAAATGAAGCCGTTCAACACATGAACGAAGCCATTCAACATATGAATGAGGAGGTCAAGGTCTAAACATGTAGCGAACAGTGACTGTGGCCTTATGCACCATTCCAAGATTAGTAAAATTCCCGCAAGTAAATAGAGTGCAATTCTGAAGAATTTTGGGTGGATAAAACGTGCTATAGATTAGCATTGCGTCTTTAGCTACAGAATTTTGGCTATGCAACTCTTTTATTCTATCGCTTCAGTAAAAATAAAGAAGATTTGTACAGGAAATATACCGCATCCAAAACAAGTATTAATATGATTATGTAACGTTCAGAACGTTGTAACAATCATTGAATATGATTTTCTCATCGAAAAAAATCTCAAAACATAACATACCATCAACCCTGAAAAAAGTTATCTACAAAAATTCTTCTTTAAATTATATAAGTGAGATCTTAACACTTTTGAAGTACAAGTTGATGATGAAACTGCAGAAGCAAATATTTCCTCTGAGGCATTTCAAAATCTCCACCCTCATTTTACTTTATTGAAGAAAAACGATCTGTAAATATTGCCTAAAATGTTTTCAGGAAATTTTTTTACACAGAAGAAAAATCAGGGAAGTTGTAAAGGAATCACTTTTAGTTTTTCTCTGTTTCCAAAATAAATTATAAAAGGAGGGTTTCAGCTTTGCAAATCAAGATGCATGTTTTTGCAGTTTCACTGTCCAAGTGTGACCTCAGAATGCTCTTTTTTAGGATTGCATAGCGGGTTTGTTTAACCAGCCCTCAAATAATTTATTAGGTAATTTTAAGTCTGGCAAAGCTGACTTTCCTTGGTTAACTAGCTGAACAAGAGCTTATGTACTTAAACTAAGCGTAAAAGTTTTAGGTAGAGGTAACTTACCTAGCTACGCGAGGAAGATTTCTTAATTCCAAGCCAAAAACTTTTGAAGAATGACAAAAGTCATCAATGCATGATCCTAGTCATATAGGAACAAATTTTAAGGCCCTGAACTTGGTTTCTGCTTTATCTGTTCTCCTGTAATTTTAATGTTTAGGTATTATATAATTTTAGGTACTCTTGTTGTTTCCATGATGTAATTTTTTGTGCAGTGTTACCTTAGCATTTTTTGTTTTTCTTCTGTTTTTTGTTCTGAAATTTTTTGTAAATTATGTATCTCGCACATAAACAAGACTGGTCGTCAATTCTCTTCTTTTATTTGTCCTGCAGAATTGTTTCCCAAATTTCATATATGTCTGTATGAGATGCTTGAGGTACTTATGGAACAATACAGTACATTAGAATTCCTATCACTGCAGGGCACCTCAAGGTGTCATAATAAAGAACAAGAATATTTCCATTTTTAGGGTAAGTACTGCTTACTCCTAACCGTGTTACTACAGGGAAGCAAAGCAAACCAGAATGGCAATTTTTGCAACACTTTTTGCTGGAATCTGTATGCTGCGGCCGTCAAATACAAGTAATTTAAGCCGAGAGTAAATTATTTTATAGCTGTGCACCGTTTTACCATCAATTTTTTTCCAGCTTTCACAAAGTCTTTGTTTTAACAAAACTGTGAAGTTTTTGTTTTACCAAAAACTTTGTGATAGCTGGAAAAATTAAAATTGTTGGTAAAACAAGTAATTTGGCTTTTCCGCAGAAATAAAACTTTGATGTATCAATGGCAAAGTGCAAAAATACAACTCTGAATTGCAATGTGTATAAAACTAGATTGTTTTATTTTCTTCTGTGTAACTTAGTGAAAATAATTCTTAGTAATTTAATTTTTTTTTTTTTTTTTTTTTAAATTAATTGAGAAATTGATAGAAAATTTCAATAGGTAGGTGTAAGGTTGAATACGTTTGACGCAAGGTTCAATAGAAGAAAGGTTCCTTAAAAGAAATAAAATATGAGTGGAAACTTACAAAGTCGCAATCCAAGATGAATGCTCTCGACTTTACTCGCATTGATATGTACATTGAGTTACAAGCAATAAATGTAATCATTGATAGCAATTTGCACTTACTAACTTCTTTTTCACATTTTTATGTATAAGTAAGTAGTTATGCAGAAAATTCTGGTCTTCAAGCCTTTTGTGCTTCGCCGGTGTGAAGAGAACCATAAAAAATGGTAAAATCCAGCTGGCACCGAATCTTTTCATGGGAAGTGTAGTAGACACATCCTCTTGTAAACCACAAAGAAAGAAATTTCGAGAAAGAAAAAAAAATTGACTGAAAATTGGGTGAGGTATGGGCTGTAAATGAAATAAGCAGAACCTTCTAGTGAATTAGAATTTTTTTAAATTTTATAACGGATTTATAAGGAACACAAAACACAACAAAATAAACATACACAAAAGCTTTTGAGATGCTTTAAACCATTGTAAAACTGGCCCTAAGGCAATTTACAAGTAGAAAACAGAAGCTCCATTTTTTTTATAAATCTGCAGATCAGTTCACAGGTATTCATGCGAATAAATTTTTGAAAAATAGAAAAGATATTTCAGTAGAGTACCATAACCGTAATGGATTTAAACAGAAAATGAGTCGTTGAACACTAAAGATGAGGGTTCAACAAAATATATATTTATCTTCAATGAAAGCACACATTTTAATGTCATTCAAACATGCATGATGAGCACTTTTAATGACAGAATTTTTCAAAAATAAAATTACATTTGAGCACGATGCACCTTACAAGTAAATTACTATGTTAATTGATAGGAAGGAACACAAATCATTGCTGTGTGCGCATTTTAACAAACATAAATGTGCGTGAAAAGAGCATAAGGAGAGTGAACATTCTGAAAGCCCAATTGGACCAGATTTTGCAAAACACAACGATAAGATCTGATTTACTTTCATGAATGCACCTATCTTCTATGGCAAACAAACACTTGTACATCAAAATATTGAGACAGTCAGAACAGTAAAGGATTAAGTATGTGCCTCAAGTTTTATTCTGAATGGATATTATTCAAGACTAAAATTTGAAAAACTGTGCAATACTTAATTCATGATTGTAAGTACTAAAGCAAAATTTTAACTTCAAAAGAAAAAAATTGACAAGCCAGCTAGATCTTAAATATCTAGAGAATTTTACTGCTACGCATAAGACATTTGAAGAAAAAAAAAAAAAACTTTGAAATTGTGTTGAAGTTTGATTTTAGTTACAATAATATTATTATCTGCCCATCTGAATCAAAAGTAATCAAAACCTAAATTACAATGCACATTTTACACATTGTAACAGTTCTGATAGTATTCCGTCTGTTACACTTGCATTGCCAATTAGGTAAAAAAAATAGAAGAATTTCCAGGTTTTGAGGTAAGCCTTATCACTGACATGATGATTCTCATTGAACATTTTCGTTGTTCCGTGAATTATCTTTTTCCTAAGTGTAACTCGGAACTGAATACAATGCAGCTTCAATAATTAATATTGAGATCAAAAGGCAAATCAGTATGGCTTGTTGCATCATTTGATTTAACTTTAATTTAAAAGAAAATATTCAGATAGAAAATTAACTGCTATGTTTTGGTCTCTTTTTAGATATTCGCAGAAAATACAATAGAATAGTATGCTGGCCTAGCATCTTGGATAGGTATTAATTAAAAATCAGGAAGTTCCTGAAAATTAATTCAGTCAAACATTTCCATGAGTGTAGTCAAAACAGTATTCATGATGAAGTGAGGAAAAAAAGCCGTTGACATCAAGACTCAAATCGCTGAGTATGCAGCAAAACACTAGATTATAGGTCTAAAATATCGATTTTCAGTTTTTCATGCTGATTACTTTATTATACTCATCAAAGCCTTGTGTCAGAATTTTAGGTCTAAAAATATGACTAGTCTTACTTCTTAAAATCGGAGCAACCTTCATGATGACTCCTAACTATGATATTTATTTTATAACCATAGGTGTAACTGAGTGAAATAGTTCAACCTGTTGCATCAGTTCAGTTGTCTCTACTCCAGTGTATCTATAGCTAAAGTTAGAAAATACATATCTCAGATTGGGATGTTGTGAGTATCCACGCTTGTTTCATTTTTTGAAAAAAAGACTGACAAACAATTTCTACTAAAATTTTCCGTAAATATTCTTCACTCATTCCATTGAAATGAAAAGAAATTGCGAGAAAAAATTTCGATTAAGTTTTCCTTGAGGAAAATAAAACGTAATCAGAGATATTTAAACATTTTAAGGAAGATATGCATTTTTCCCATTTAGCCATTTTTGGTAAACCAGTATAACCCATGACTGCCTACCAGCAGAACTTGTTTCTGCATTGAATATGTTTTCAATTCATAATGTTTGGCAAAGAACAGCAATGAAATTGAACCAAATATAAAAATAAATAGGATTCTTATAAAATATTTTGAGCTATTAAAAGAAACAAGAACAACACAATCGAAAATTAGGGGAAATACTTAATCTATTGCGGATGGAAATATTTTTGGATATATTGTTGCCAAAGCCAATGTATGAGGCAAATCAATGAACGCACCTATTCCAAAGATGCTGAGTAGAGAACTCTTTGAATTGGACAATTTAACTAAAACCAGCCTTACCACATTTTACGTTGCCTAATTTTCCCTAAAGTTTTATTTTTCAAATGGAGAACCAAACAACTTAATACCTACAAACTTTCTGTGCTTTTTCCTTGGCTTTTAAAGAATTTTCTCACAGAATTTTAAGTCACGACGATAATTACTTTTCTTTTAAAAAAATAAAAAATTGAAAGGAAATCAAGCATCATCTAATGTAGTTTGGCTGCTTCTGGTAAAATCCGTTCAATATATTTACACTGGTCCCGTGTGATGTAAAAAAAAACCTGCACAAGCTGAGAAACCTTTTATCTGTTTGGAATGTACAATAAGTGTGTACATACAGTAAAAATTTGCCTCAGCGCACATATTACCGGATGAAACTCAAACTCTAAAAGTAGACTAAACAGCAAAGAATTTAATTCAAGCTTAATTATTAAAAAACCGGGGCATCATAGAGGTTAAGGTGACTTAACTAATTCTTAAAGATTACTCCCGCAAGTATGATGCTACTCTGTGGTTGAGATGCTTTCTGATTGTCGCATAATTAGAAATTAGCAAAATATTTTTCTTTGGTTTCATAGTCTCCCCTCCCCCCTAAGAAAATGAGAGATCATAGAGTGGAACTTAACTTCAATAAGTTCTGAAGACAATTTTAAGGTAGCTTAGAAACATTAAGAAAGCGTAAGTTTTTGAGCTTCAACTTAAGTAGTTCATCACTCTTACGCTTCACTATCTTAACTGGAAAAATCAGTGCAGAAAGCTGGAATGACTATTTAGAATGAATATTCGAAACGATGAAAAGTTGGCTTCATCTAGGAGCTTGTTTCATGACATCACGGAGCGAGGAAAAAGATTCATTCCGATGTAATCATTCACCACCTGTCAAAATAAGAAGATGTGTGAGCAACAATAGATAAGTTGAGAATTTGATTATCTTGCACAAGAGGATCATTTCCTAACTGGAGTATTTTTTGGTAGAAAAGCAGAAAATATGAGTTTCGGGAAAAACTCGCTTGAATTTTGAGATGCTGAAGGTCAAAAAGCTTACAAGATTATTCAAAATACGATGGACAAAGTTGTAAAAAAAATTTAATGAATTCGAAGCAAAATGAGGAGGGTCCAGCGAGTAAAATTATGACGAAATTGAATTTTTAATATAAATATTGCAGTCTTTCTACAGTAATTGGAATTTTGCATTGTGGTCTATTGTCAAAGGTGAAAAAGTCGATCCACAAATCTCCGTTTGTGATGTTGCAGATCTCCTATCACTATTTATTTTTCTAAAGAAGGCCTGATCATCATTATTGAACAAAATTTTGTTTGATTTTTCTTAGCTCTTTCAACAATATTCTCTGGACATTTTGCACTAAAAAGTCAAGCACTATTCCTGGGAAAAACAAAATAGGCACAAAAAATTTCAAACGCCGCAATCGAGATCCATGATTTGGTAGTTTCATCATCAATACGTACTTAGTGCGCACACCAAAAGCAGCAAGAGAGCTGAAAAAATTAAAATGTAGACTACCTCGATCAGAACTTGTTTATTTATTTCTGGTACGGAGCATTTGAAACCAGCAGCAGTTAACTTGGAATTGCTCAGATGTAGATGCTTGTTGTACAGCAGTTCTTTGTGTATGTAGGATGATAATGGAGTATTGGTGACTCCACTAGCTGCACAAGCCTCTGCCCAAGGCGCTAAGTGTTTATCGTTGATTTCCTCCATAAGATTGAATTTATCAACCTGAAAAAATTGATCGAAGAAGGAAAGTAAAGCTCCAAAACCAATCTAAATACTTCAGTCATGATACAAGAATATTCAAATTGCATGATTTCTATAATTTCTTCTTCTTTCTATTTCCTGACTTTCATTTACTCCAAAATGTCTGAACTCCCGAATTTCCTTTCTTTTTAGTTCACTCATGTTTTATGTTTTAAAGGAAAACCAACCAATAGTTCCTTTTCAAATTTTTGAAATATTTTATTCTTGCATTCTAAAAAAAAATCGCAGAAAATTGCAAGAAAACATTTTCAGTGGTTTTTTCTTCTTGAAAAAATTAAATATGATCGAAAATATTTAAATGTGATAATTGAATCGGGACGTGCGAAAACCACTAATGTCCATTCTTCCAGTCTTAAGTTTTTTTGAGTTAATAATACTTTTGGTATTACTGACTGAGTTAGTTGGTTGCAACAACGAAAGTGGCGTTAAAACTCGTCTTCGAATTTCCTGAATCCCAAAACGAGTCCTTTCATCATTTTTATGATTGTATCAACTCTTTAGAAGTATTGTGAACTCAAAAAATCTTAAGACTAGAAAAATGGACATTAATGGTTTTCACTCGTCCTGATTAAATTGAAATACGCATTTCTCACAGTTAGCCATCAATACGTACGTATTTCTTAAAAAGTCTCATAGCTACTTGAAATGATACTTTTCCTACAGACCTCATTGAGCCTGGGACTCCTTTTATCTTTGTCTGAAACAAAATCTCCCCTCCATCCTTTATCAGCTTCATCTGATTTATTTATTTTTTTTTTTTTTCAATTAAAAGTTTAATCACACAATCATCACCAACTCGGAAGATTTTTTGCTGTTTAGACAAACTATGCACATAAACCTTAAAACTTCTACATTCTTTAAAACAAAAGTAAAAAAAAAAAAAAAAAAAAAAAAAACTTTCTGAAGGTGTGTTCTTTCAACAGATACTTACTGTCGTCAATGTGGACATAACCTTGCCGCAAAAATCATAACTAATATTGAATATGGAAGCAATTAAATCCGTGACCCGACCCTGGGTTGTGTTTCCATCATCAACTGCGTTGTACACCTCACCATGAGCCTCTTTCAGTTTCATCAAGAACCAGATTGCCTCACAAAGATCTTTCACATGAATTGTATTCATTCGTAAATCCTTATCCCAGAGAAGGCGCATACTCTCTCCGAGGTGCTGATAGACAGCCCCAATGACTAGACGTGGCGCTGAAAAGGGAAGAAATATTAAATGCAATAAAAATAGAAGAATTCATGATCTGGAGAAGGATGTGTTCAAATGTTTGGAAAAACTTCTTGTGTAAATACAGATTCAGCATTTAACAGATGGCAACTGCTGATCACGGGATGAGAAAAACACGTACCTACCTAGATCAGGATGTAATGAAAGATCAAGATTTTTGAGAGCCATAAATACATTTGATTTAGCAGTCATGAAGCCTGGAATGATGCAAGAAACAAGGACGCAACAGAAATCGGGCATGAGTTAATCTTTGGAGGCCAGCATCCATAATTTTAATGTACCAAAGTCTGATTTACAGGTATATCTTACTCAAAAGCATAAGCACCCCCAAAAGTTAGAATACATCAATGGCTAAAAAGCAAAACCACAAGTTTCCATTGTGGCACTTTAAAATTTCTACTTTTGTTTTACTTTCTCGCGGACAAACGAGCCAACTTTATCGCTTGAAATTCATGCAGAATATTCTGCTGACAGAGAAGAAAAATCAAAAAAGTTGTCAAGACCGACTGATTTTCCAAAGAGAAAATAAAGTGTAACACGAAGTCTGCAACATCGCAAACGGAAATAAATGGTTTCTCACTTTGGCCATCGATATTCAATTATGACCACTCCCAATAGGAGTACAATAATGCAGCAAATTTTTTCAACTTACTCAACCCTGTCTTGTCGCCAAAACCATAAACTATGCCAGGCCTGATGATTGTATATCTTAAACCTTCAATGGATTTAAGTTTTTCTTCAACTTTTAATTTGTACACAGCAACATCAGTCCATGGTTTGCAAGGATCGGATTCTTTGTGAGCAGTCTGGAACATTATTGAGAACACATTCATTAGCAAAAGCCTCGCTGGTTTGTAACACTATCATTGCTGATAATAACCAGAACCATAAGAAACCAGAAGGTTAATTTGAAACGATATATTTTGGTAATATAATTTTAGTTCATTATTATGCAAAAACCGTCATTTCTTTTGGTTCATAATGGACACTTGTGAGATTGCAATTCTGGGAATTAGTTCATGATTGAATAATAAGAGTGGATACAGATTTCAGTGGATATTTGAGGACAAACATTCCCATGCTCCAAAACTCATAGGCTTTGGACAAAAATAGCAAGTTTCCCAAAGATTCACACCGTTAATACTTTGACTTGACTCACTGACTGTAACAGAGCGGTCTTCAGCCCACGGTCCATGAATATTTTTGAGGATGAAATTAAAAAAAAAAAAAAAAAAAAAAAAAAAAAACAGCTGAACACTGGCTCAACACAAGCCTTTGTGCGTCACAGTTAATATTTATAGGTACATGGCCACTAATACAACTTGACAGAAACTAATTCTGGACCCAAAGAATTAGGACTATCAAAACATTGATGTTACCTGTTCACTAGATGCCATGCATCCAGAGGACAATTCTACAAATCTTGCAGCACCAATTTTGGCTGCTAACTTAGCGCAGTTCAGACTGACTCGAACTATACCTTCTTCGTAAACTGCTTCAGACTGCCCGAGCCTTGTTTCACATGCACAGTTCAAAATGTAATCAAAGGCTTTGGGTGGATTCGCAAATGCTTTTTCGCAGGAATCTAGAAGTGTAAACACATGATAAATCATAGAATGATCATAAGCAGGCATATTCCTGAACAATTAAAATGACAATTATACACCTGTACTATCAAAATTTAAAATCTTTTAATAACAAAATATGACTTAATCGTGGAAATTGTTTGAGCCTTTTGGAATGTCTAAGGCCTTGTCCACACGAGCGTCGTTTGCAGAACTTGTTCCCGAAACAAGTTATAGCTGAGCTAAAATTTATTCCTCCAAACCCAGGTACTTTCCCCAAACTCTGGGCTTCTCTTTTTCTTTTCTGGAGAATTCGTTTATTTTACTCTTGCAGCCCTAGTAATCTATTATTTTCCAATATTTATACAGCTTTATTGAAGTTGTAATTTTATATATAGAACGGCTTACTCGCATAACCTTCCAAGCTCCCATTGTCAAAAACACGAAATTCCGGTTTGGGCCGACTCGTGTGGACAGCATCCCTCACTTCAAGGAACAAGTTTCGAGAAACTGAGCAGTTCCTTGAACCGCGCATGTGAGGGCAAAGCCTAATGATGAGAACCTTGGGGGTTTTTCTGGTGTGAGATACATGAGGAGAAGAGTTTAATATTTTTATTCAACTTTGCTGACTAAGGCAGCCAGAGACACAATAGGATAATGTGTGTTCTCAACCTAAAATAATAATTCTACTCTAAGGAGGGACAAGAAAGCAATAGTTCATCAGCGGAAAACTCTTCCATGGAACGGTGTTAGATACGTTAATGTGAAAATATTCAGTGACCTCATTTGAGAGAATTACTCAGCTTTATTCCTTGCAACAAAAACTTGTATTTTTTCTACAGAGGCAAGAGACTAATGGGTGAAAATTATTAATTAGGAAGATACATACCAAAGTACATCAAATTGGCACTAACATGTTCCACCCTCGGATCTTTAAAAGCTAGAGAATGTCGTTTATTTAGCCAGGCTACTTGTGGGGGTAACTTGTCAACCACTCGTATGTACGAAGCAACATCATTGTCGATTAAAAATTCCACAAAGTTTCGCCCGATGAAACCACAACCTGAAAAATATTTGCACAATTTAGTTCGCATTTCAAGGAAAGACAATACATTGAAAAAGAAACAGAAAAAAAATATAAACTCATAAACTTTAATAACTAAACGTACACAATAGGAAGTTGGCCACAAACCATTCAACCACAAGAACCCCAATAAAGATCAATTATTTTCCATCCCCTGGAAGGTTTCTTGCCTTCCTCCTAACATTTTAACAGCCACCGTAGCCACAAATCCCAGATTTCAGAGGCCAAATTAACTTTTGACGTTCGTATCATGGCCACAATTGGTGTATTCAGAACACCACTGCTGCTTTACATTTGCGGATTGGAAAAAATTAAGGAAGAAAAAGCCTTTGATAGCAATTTCAGAACTGAATTGGGTTTCCAAACAGACAACGGAAGGAGAAGGGGAAGGATTCTCCTGTTTAAAATAGGTAATAGAATACTTAGCTTCGCAAATTCAATATGGTCAGAGGAGAGAATTTGTTAAACCTCCAATGACCCGAAAAGTAAAATGATACTACTTTCTTACCTCCGAGAATCAAGAAAGCTGGTTTATCGCTTCCCATTTCAACACTGATCACAATGTTAAATAAATATAACAGAGGGAAATAACTGAAAATCAGACTAAACTGTAAATTACTTGAGCTCCGTCCATCATGGAGAGGTGTGAACGATGGCAAAACAACACGGAAAGCAACTAGTGTCAATTATTAGGTAGGTACTGTTATTGCTGTACGAGCGCTTGTTCTCTTATCACTTATCGGTACTTAGTTGCCGCCACCCAAGAAATACGGAGCTTGGGCGGGTCATGGGCTGGGTAAAAAACCTTGACGGGAAGACTAAAAGGAGATAGGATGTAGAGGAAATGAACACTTGGTCGGATGTGTTTGAATTGCTGATAACTGATCTCAATGAAAAAAGTGCGTAGTTTTTTCTGCGGTACAGAATTACTGATAACAAATTTGTAGGTTAAGTTGTTGTCGTCGGCAGCCGGCTGCTGACGTCACTGATAGACATTTTACTCAGCCTGTAAGAAAATATGCATACTCACATATTGAAGGCGTTTTTTAAATCGGATGCTCTTGAATCGTAGCTTGTAGAGTAAGGAGGAGCCGAAAAACCTGTATTTAACTTCGATTAGAAGTTAGAACGGATAACTAGGATATAATTTAGAATACACTTATGTATGTTCGTTTTTTAAAATGTATTTTATTTTTACTTCATTTTATTTTTTAACTTTACTTTATTTGTTTACGTTACTTTATTTTTCACTTCGATTTTTTTATTTTATTTTTGTTACTCTGATTTTTTTAATTTATTTTTGTTACATTGATTCTTTTACTTTATCCTTGTTACCTTATTTTTTTTTACTTTATTTTTGTTACCTTATTTTTTTTACTTTATTTTTGTTACCTTATTTGTGTTACTTTATTTTTGTTACTTTATTTTTCGTAACTTCATTTTTTTTTTCTTTAATTTTATTTCTTATACTTTATTTTATGTTTTTACTTATTTCTTTTATTTACTTTTCAATGCATTCATGCACGCCCAAAAGTAGAAAAATGTTGAAACTCATACATTGAAAACACGCGTTGAACACTGAAACTATTTAATAAGTATCTAGATATCGACGGCGTAAGTCCGCAATCACATAATCTCGTTTGTGGTGTCTGAAAATCTCTGCTCTACGTTATTATTTTAAAGGAGAACAAATTGACATTATTCCTTGAAGTTTTTGCAGAATTTTTTTCGTACAGAGAGGGAAAATCACGGCAGTTTTAAAGAATTGCAGTTGAGTAGTTTTCCGTTTAAAAAATAAAGTATGGCAGGAAGTCTGCGGCGTCGCAAACCGAGTTATGTGATTGCCGATTTACACCGTCATTTAGTCCGCCTTATTAGTGGCGAGAGCTGTGACCAGGCAAATCCTAACTTGTCTCAAACCCAACAAAAGAGTCAAAACTTTATTTCAGCTGAAGGTGAATCGTACATTAAATAAAGTATAAAATGAACTAAAATAGTTATAATAAAGTAATCTACGTCGGCCGCGCCGTGGGTACATTGTGGTTTATTTTTGTATGCAGTTTCTCTTTTTACCACATACTTCATATATTTTCCATTTTTAATATTTTATTTTCATTTTTTAAGCATGGTTCTTATTACAAAACTTTGTTTTAAAGGTGTAAAATTTATAATTAATGTAGGAACACTACTTATGAACCATGCTCCACGTTCTCGTGAGCGGACTTTTAAATTAACCGCGTTTTTCGAGTTAGCAACACCCATCGGACTGCATCAACAGAAACTGCTGCAGTAGCTGCAGTGCCGAATATAACATAAATATAAATTGTTTGCACGACTTTTTCGTTACTTTCATCAAAAATAAAATAGTTATTACTTGAATTTAGCAACCAAGCCTCGGCTTTGCTTGCTCCTCTGCTGCTGCTTTGGTCAAAAACTCGTGATGTTCGTGTATCGATAATGGAAGTGGAAATGGTGGCTGTGCAAGTGCTTGTGGACTTCGCGAATTTGTGTTGATACCGCTTTATTTAGTTTAGATTTCCCCCTGCCGATTCCGTTTTCTCATAGTTGTACTTCGTGTGTGTGACTGCCACTTCAATTTTGGGCTCTCCACCGTAAATAGACCAGCGAAGGCGTCAAATTCTTGCACCCTTGTGGACGGACCTTTTTTGCTGTTTGTGAGGTTAGAGTCATTCTCAACAATTCTTTCTTCATACTGATATCTTATCTTTAGCAGCTGTATCAGATTAATTTTGTCTATTCGGCGAGAATTTGTGAGGTTATTTAGCTGCACAGAAAACCTTCAAGTAAACTTGCATGTCCAGCCTGAATGTGTAATTCATCAAGATTTACTCGAGGGGTATGTCAAATTTTTTGCTGCAATATCAGATTGCCGCTCTGTTAGTACGTCCATTCCTCATCATTGCGCTCCTCCAAAATGTGAGACTTTTACACCTCTTCACCACTACTTAACTGTCTCACATATTGTCTCTTACTAAGTATGGTCTAATTTCTCTCCGTACGAATCCCGTATATCAAGACACTTGCAGCAGTTATCACTGCATGTCTCTTATTCCTCGCCTGGCCAGGCGCAAAGTAACGTTCTTTTTTACCATGTTTGTCACCTCTCTTAGGTCACCTCAACTCACTGAGCACTTGCATTTTTTGCAAATTTCAACTCTAACTAGAGTCTTTACCCACCAAACAGCGCAGCAGTAGATGTGCTGTCTTTGATTAAGTTTTAACGGATTAGGAAAGAATCCAAGTGGTGGATTTTTCGGCATACTCTAAAACACTGAAATTATTTTAGCACAGATCAGTGAGTTTCATTTTCAGAACGAGACAATCTCATCTCAGTTTTCTGATCGCTGCTTACTTATTTTGCTAAGGCTAGACCGCAGCTTGTTAACTTGCATTGTCAAAGTAAACTTGTCTATTTCCATTTGGTTATTCTGTTTACAAACGCAACTCAGCGGTCGCATTGACCTCCTGAGACGGTTGACTGTTTGGTAGGAACGTTGAGCTTTCATATATATGAGAGTAAATACACATATCCTGGGTTAATTCTAACGGAGTCCAACAATGGCGACTGTTTGGAATCGTTAAATGCTGTTCAATGATAAATCTCCAGCTATAGAAAAGTTTAAGTAATGTGTCAGTATCAATCATAGAGAAATCCTGAAAAGTTCATACAAATTTCAGAGATCCACAGTTGGGTTACTTCGGTAATTAACTCTAGCTGAAAGAATCCCTCAAGTATCATTGCTTTTTTCTGTTATTCAAGGTTTGCTCAAAATGGATATCCCTTTGCCAGAAGAACCGGGTGGCCTACCAACTGATATACCAATGCCGAACGAAATCCCCATGCCTGAAGATTCTCAAGACACAAATCAGTTCACGCCCATGGAAAGTGATTGTAATACCATCCCGATGCCCAACTTCGGAGCTGATGAAACAGACGAAGAATCCCGGCCGTTCCCTGAACGTGAGAACGAGTATGCTGAAGACACGCAGTCCAGTCTGCCACATTATGAGGCACGGTCTGCGCCAGTCTCTTCGAGTGACGACAACACGCGGGATTCGGAGCGGTCTCCTTGGACTGCCAGAGAGGAGCGCAATCGGCATTCATCGGACGATTCATCCAGCTCCTCTGAGGCAAATTTGTATAATCAAGACAGCCAGCAACCTCCGTCACCTGACCCTCCTTTACGGGATGAGTCGTCTAGCTCTTCCGAAGCAAATTTTCAGGGTGAACCCATTCAGCGCAGACCATCTGTGGATGAAGATATGTCCCAACCGATCAATCTGGACTCATATCCTAAATTAGAGCCTCCTCCCTTGCCGCCAAGTAGCGCTTTTAATTTTGATTTAGAATTTCCAAGTAATCCTGAAAAAATTAAAAAACTGGAACCACCACCCCTACCTCCAGATGTCCCTTTGCTAGATGGGGGCTCAATACTGAATGAGCTATCATTTATTCCAATGCCAGAAGAAGTTCCGATGCCAGAAGAGGTTCCAATGCCCAAAGAACAACGGAGGACTCAGCCCCAACTTGATTTTATTCCACCGTTGCCGAACGAGCCGAGGGATGAATCTGCCTCCAATAACCACGAACCTGATAACAACAGGTAATTTTCATCTTTTGCTTTCTAAATTTTGAAAACTAATCCACTAATAATGTGTCAGTCTGGAGGGATCTTTTAATGCAGCAAAACTTCAGATGGTCTTGTAGGAAATATAAGAAACTTAGAAAACTTGAATTTTTTTTTTTTTTTAAATAAGCACTAAGTAGCTTTACTTTTAATATACAGCAAAAACCAGATCCATTTTATCAAAAAAAATAGCTCATATGTATGTTTTGAACATAATTTTCTGAAGCCATATTCCAAGATGGACTCCGCCCAAAGTAAAAATATCGCACCTTCAACAGTTAAATCAAACCCTGAATTTAGTGCAGAGATAGTTGTTTCCCTGATGGAATGTTATAATTGGTCAATTTTTAAACTTAATCTATCTTATGCCTACAAATAGGATAAATAAGTTTGTTTTCCAAGTACCTAGGTAATATAATAAAGAGAAATCTGTCATTGAGAAAAAAATGTCTGATATTTTGGTGCTTGTTTCTTTATCTGGAAAGTCTGAATGAAGATTTTTTTTCATAAATCCTCTATGAGCAGGTGTTCAAACCTCTCATGAAATGCAAAACAATACTTCCTCTCTACCCTATGGGAGCGAGAAAGTAAAAATGTGATCCAAGCTGACTTACTTTAAGCTCTCATGAGTCATGTTCACTGAATTTAGGAATGTTAGGATGGACTCTGAAGCTAGGATGGAACCATCGAAAAAATTGTCACAAGATTCTTTGAACATTTTCAAGGAGTACATTTTGATTCTCTTTGCCTGTGAGCTCACGTAATCAATTCCTCACAACAGAATTTTGAGAATACTTGCTGTAGACATAACAGCAGTAATTGTTGATCTATGTTGATACTTATTTAATTTATAATCCTTTTAATTGGAAGTTAAAAATACCTTTTATTTACTAATAAAACAGTCGAGTTAAGTTAATATAATTATTATTTATTTTCTTTTTGATTCCTCGTCATTCACTAATATTTATAACTTTCAGGTACTCTCCAAGTCTCCCAATGGAGGATGAAGAAGAAGAATCTGGTACTCAGCTGGAAGAAGTAATAGCACCCCCGCTGCCTCCTGCTCAGCCACAACCTGTCAAGACTATTTCCATGTCGAGTAATGCACAAGTCAAATTACCTGCACTGGGCAAAGCTCAGGCCAAAAAGCGACTGCTTGCTTTCTCAATGGCCAAGCAAAACAGCGCCAGTGTCTCATTTTCCATCTCCAAAAAACCTGCATTGAGCAAGAGCTTTGATTCACCCGGAGTCACAGCTGCGTCTGCCGATTCAACCACCCTTGATAAAGCTGATCCTTTTGGTGAAACGGAGGAGAAAAAGAAGAAGAAAAAGAGTAAGTCAGTCACTAATTTCAATATTTTCTACCCTATTTTGTCTTGTAGGTGTATGAATTGAGTGGGAATGCTAAGCGGGATCATGGGTCACCTGTAAAATGGGCAGAAAAAAATCAAGAAAGTCTCTGTCTTTCCTCTAAAAATTCAATCCCTACTTCAAATTTCTGATATACCTACTCCCCAATTTTTCTCCTTTTTTTTTTTCTTTCTCTTTTCATTAGTCATGTGATGAAAATGTGCAATTCAAAGCGCTGGTCCTCGTGACTGTTTTGGCTGGACGCAACAAACATAAAAACGATCATTATTTCCTGCTTGGCAGTGAGCAAGTCAAAGTATCATCAGGAGACAATTTTTCTGACAAAAATTAGACTAGATATAGATTGTTAAGTCTCGAAAATATATTACTCAACTCTCATTAGTTTTTTAAAGCTGCAGGAGTTTATTTCAGATCAAGCATTCCATCAATGTTTGGATATATTATATGTAATCAAGGAAAATTTGAAAATCATGCACCATTATTGCCCCCTTTGTACATGGCCAAAAAAGAAATATTAGCTTTTTTGGTACTCTGAATAGGTAACTAAGGTTCAGATGTGTGCATTTTCAGAGGTTAATTTTTGAAGTCTTTTGCTCAAAATATCTCACTGAACAATCCAAATTAATATTAACAAAATTTCTAACCAGTTTAATTTTTTCAAGCTCTTCTAATTAATTGATATTTTAAAACCTTAGCGGCAAAAATTGAAAGAGCACGAGAAACTGTGATGGAAATTGAAGAAATAAAGAGGGCTGAGCGCTTGTTCACAGACAGCCACAACAACTACCCTTTGATGAATCCGGGTGCGGTAGACTCTATAGCAGGTAACTTGTCTTAACATGCTTTTTTGGTAACACATTAAAAACGTTATCACTGTTGTCTTTATCCCTTATTTAATGAGAATTATTTCATCTATGTAAAGATAAAATTGGTTTCCACACGACCAAGTAGCATTGCTGCAGACAGCGATGTGAATCATTGGTTCTGGGACATGATACATTTAAAATTCAAATAAATTTTTACTTTTTATTTTTAAAATGAAAAATTTTTCATTTTAATTTAATGTAAAGAAAAATATTGCACTTTTAAATAAAGGTCTGAATCAAACAAGATTTTCATGAAGCGACCTCTTCTTGCCAATTTTTCAATCAGAGTCCTGAAATCTGTAATACTTAGTGGAGGCAGGTCTGCTAAGTCAGTTTCTTAGGGGCTTAATCATCGTATTGTTCCAGAAAGAAAAAAGAAGAAATAAAATCGTGTTTAGATGGAAATACTTGATCTTGAATCATCAATGTGCTGACTCATCAATTCTCAATCATTCAGCAGCTATTCAATGTATTAATTTGTGTGGTTGGTTTGTTTGCATTTGTTTTATCGTTTTAAAAGCCAGAGTTTCTCTTGTTTAGAGATTGCAGCCCCAAAACATCTCAAAAATTTCAAGGAAGAAAAAGTTAAATACTGAGAGATGTAAACATATATATTAGAACAATATTATTAAGCTCAAAGCTAAATATCCTATTGCTTCATAGCCCTTAAAATATTAACACCCTTATTGTCTAATTTGTTTACCTCAATGAAACTTTTTGGCTTTATACTGTATAGGTGAAATGTTGAAGAAATCCAAACTTGATGCGATGGTCGATAAAATGGTAAAGGACGATGAGAAAGACAGGGGCAAAGATGACCGTAAACGTCGAGACGAAAAAGGGCGCGACAAAGAAGACAGGAGCCGAGACAAGAGGAAACACAAGAGCGGTAAAAGGAGGTCCAGGTCTCCAAGAAGATCCAAATCGCCGAAGCGATCGCGGTCCCCCAAAGTAAACCCTTTGGAACTGAAATCCTGGGAGGACTTCAAATCTTCCGGGTTCGAACTTGCGGGCGGTTACCGGCGGTATAAACTGCGCGCTATGGAAGAACTCGAAAAACAGAAAACTAAGAAGCGTGACAAACATCGATCTTCAAGACGACATTCCAGGTCTCGCTCTCGATCCCCCAGCCCGAACAAGTAAGTACACAGTAACTTTTTTGTCATAGTAGATCAAATTAATGATGACCAGTTGAATTTTATTTTTTTCGTTTTTTTCATGCTAGTATTTTTCAATCCAATCTCAATGCTCTTAATGTTGTATTAGCTGAAGTTCGTTGATGACCACCATGACAAAAAAATCCATGCATTCTAAATCAGTGGCCAGTACCTGTACAAAACCGCATGTTCTGTACGAAATATCAGCTCGCGTGAATTGTGTTCCTCTCTTTCAGTTCCCATTTCTGTTCATCCCCTGTGTGTTTCTGGTACTGCTTTTTATATTAAGCGCAAAAAATTCCATGCCCGAAAGGCAGCTGGACCTCCTAATTTCATCATTCAATCGCAGTAATTAAATATCGCTCCTAGTGTAATCAAAGTTGCGGCAGTTAGGAAAAATTGTAATGTGTCAGAGAATTCTGAAAAGTCAGAGAAAACCAGAAAATGTCAGAGAAAGTTATGAAAGTGGTAGGAAATAATTGTGGAATTACCATCATTTGCTTTCTAGAATGTGTTTGACATTCAGAATAAAAATGTCGCGTATTAGAATTTGGAAGTGGCTATTTTTAACCATCCTGCATATCATTATACATACGGAGTTTCACCAAAATTTGGCAGGAAAATCTGGGAAAATTCAGGGAATTTCAGTTTCTACATTTTGTGGCAACTGTTTCCGATCTAGATAGCAATCGTTGGCTAGATTCATTTTAGTGGTAAAAAAAAGCCGCCAGTGACAGATGCCTATCTCAAGGTCATATGCTCAAGGGTTGTCTAACCCTTGAGGATATTGCTTCTCATAAGATATGTGCTCGTAAGTACTCTCTTATGTGATACTGGCGGAAAGCCTCTTGCATTCTGCAAATATTCCCTCTTTTTTTAGTGACGTCCTCTCTCATTGTTTTTTCAATATGTGTACAGGAAAACCTAGGAAATTGGGAAAGAGCATAAGGGAAAAAATAATAAAAAGCAATAAGGAAAATTTAAAAATGTGGAAGAATTACATGAAGAATGCTAAAAAAAAATTTCCTCCTGCTTGATTTTCCTCTGATTTTTGCAGATGTCGAAATTTAATTTTTTAAAAAACTGCTCAAGAAAATGTAAGGGCTGTGAAAACAATTCCAAAATTAACAGCAGTAATCGCTCTGTATTTGGGGCGTGTTGATTGATCCTCAATAGAGAATTTGCAGGTGTCTGAAATTTGATGAATACCGTGTCCAAGTGGATGTCACCTAGTGAGCTTAACACGAGGATGAGCCCCCATAATGAGCTAAACACATCATGGGAGGAGATACGACAACATAACCTAATCTGCTAAAATACATGTGTTTAATTAGGAAATGCTGCCAGATGATGTCACTAGGCGGCGCATTTTATTCACTTTTAAATCTATTTTTATACTGTTTCCTGTGTCAGAAAAAAGTTGTAAAAAATACTGCGTAATCAGCTCTTCAGGCACTTTCAGATGAAGCAATAAAAAATGTGTGTGCAAATTCTCCATTAACAAAGTCAAGAAACGCCTTCATGTTTATCAAGAAAATTTTGAGAAATTCTAGGAATGTTTTTCACTAAAGCATAAAATCTCCCAGTCTAGTCCCATTATTATGTTTATGCATCCATTGTATCAGAGTTCAATTGCCATTGGTGCTCACTTGTTATGTGGAAAATTGTCAAACAGTGAACTCGAGGTGAGATGCTGAGGGACAGAGTCTTATTTTCAACTGTTGCCAAAAATTATTATTGACTAGTTGACTCTCGATTGAATTAGGTTTTGATTAAATGTCTGAGTTTGTGAGTAACCAGAAGTCAATTTCTCCATTTTTATGACCTAAATACTTGATGAAAGTAGAAATCTCATTTTCCTGCGTAATTTTGAACTAACTTACGAATTTTTAAAACCGATTTTTTTTTGCAGCACTTTGCTTTGTCAAGAGCTCACCGCGTTGAGATGGCTGCTATTCGAGTTTCTCCTGTCTATAAATGACCATGGTTCTCTTAACATTGATTAAACCTGTTCCAACTCCTTGAAACGATGAGATTTGAGTCTAAGGAGGGTTACCTCCAATCCTCAGGCCTGAGGTACATTGCGGATTTACAAGCGTAAAGTCAAAGTAAACAACCCTACGTCTTTTTTCTTACAAATTAGTGGAAAAATAAGCAATAAAGATAAAAATCGAACGACAAGCTAAAAAAACAAAATGTTATGTAATCAATTACACAATGATGAACGAAAGATGTATTAGCGGAAAAACAGCGTACCCTCTGTACAGAAAAAGTATAGAGAAACTATGAAGGCATGGATTTTGAAAGGTCAGCTCAGGAGTACGTGAAGGGTACCCATTTTTTGTGAAATCTATGAATATTGGAGTTTTTTGCAGTATGAAGATAATCTTGAAAGAATGCAATTTTTACTTGTAATTTATTATATCACATTCCGTCAAAATTTACGTTACATTCGGATACTTCAATTCATCCTCCTAGAATTGCCATATTCCACTATCTAAGCTGAGTTTCTCTTTCTTTGGCACAAATCCTCTTCATCAGTGTTAAAAATGCGTACTAGGCAAGGGGAATGTGAGAAATAGGAAATGAAACCGCAAGAATTTAAGGAAATCTCTGAAGAGAAGTATGGGAAATCCCTTTTTGGTGAAGTAAAGAAAAAGTTTTAAAAAAGAAAGTGATGAATAAGCAAAATTGTCACATGATGATGCACCAGTAGACACCCTAAAAAAACTTTCAAAGGGCAAGTCCAACAATCGAGCTGAATTTGAAGGTATTTCAAGGCTGATTAAAATTTTAAAAGTATGTCTCTTTCAGAGAACAATCAATTTTAATTTCAGGTTCTGAGAAAAAATCGCTCTTAGGGTAATTTTAACCCATGTTTGAATTGACCAACATTTTTAGTCACTGAATCTTATATCGTATACATAAGTACCGTCTGTAATAATGGCTCTTTCCGAGCCATTTTGCCCCGCATCCGACAACATGACCACCGAAAAATGTAGGTCGAATTAATTAATCGTGTTTAGAAACCATCAGCAAGACGTCAGAATATGTGTTGTTGTAAGCCAGACATACAAAACATACCTATGTTTGGTTTCAAATATTGCTGTAGAACCCTCAAATAATAGCAAACACATTCTCTGTAAATTGAGTGGAATGTTGATAGAAGTTCAAACCTCCTATGGAACGGTCAAATTTTACATTCATGCTGTTGACGAAAAGTATCTTAAGTCCAGGACATAAAACCAATTATGAAGGAGTCAATCAATAGGAATCATAATGTACTCTCTGGAGATAGGTCTCGAGAAATGATTAGGGTTGCAAGGATGTAAGACAGAATTTCCTCATATGAGATGCTGAATCAGCCTTGCTTTTTGTGGCTGGTCCTCCTAAAAAAAATGGTGGCAAATTACTGAGAAAACTCCTACATTATTAAGTCCCATGTACTTCTTTACTATAACCAAGAAAACCTTTTTTCAACCTAGCAACGAATTATAGACTGTTATAATTCTAGTTTGTTTCTCCTGCAAAATTTTGTTTTAATGGAAAACCATGTTTATTGAAGTGTTCTATTGCTTTAATCTTCTTCTCTTGTTTTGTCTACTCGGTGACTTGATCGAAAAGGAGTGAAGGTGACTCTTGGGAATTTCTCGAAAATTGTTCAAGTTGCACTGTCTATTATCCCTAAGTTACGAACCAAAAAACTATGACTTGGTAATTTATTCAGAAACTTCATGCCATCGCTCTCCCTGCCAGGCTGTCTTGGCGCTGAAAGCCAGAGAGATAAAATTGTTAAGGAGAAAAAGTGCGGAACGGAGGAAATTACAAACTCCCACTCATGATGGTGTCCTTTTATCACTTCATGGCTTTTTGAAAACTCAGCTCCGCAGCATTCTCTTCCGCTCGGTAGTGAATTTTTCGCTCCGAAATTTGAGCTCCTATCAATCTGCACTGGTACTTTGCCCTGAGCTATGTTTCTTTTTGCTTTTCTTTTGTTATAAAAAAAAAGGTTAAGGAGAATCAGGGAAAGTTGAGAATACAGAAAATCCAAGGGTCAGGAAAAGCCTGAAAAGTTAAGGTGAAAGGAAAGACAATTTTATTGGACATCCGGATATTCTTTGTATTTTTATGCTGTTAAAACTCCCACGGACACTCAAAACTCTCCGAAATTACTGCTACATCGTTGCACTTTTGTATCAATCTTTAAGTTTTTATTGCACCAAATTACCGTAGTTTTCTTAGCCTACCGCAAGTTCTATATTCCGTAATTTACTCAAAAAAAAAACTCCTTTACCTCCATCCTTTCAAGCTTATTGCACACAACAGTAGTCTCTTGTCTTGTTCCTTGAGTCATTGATCTCTCGATCTGTAATTAATTATACCGATAGACTGAATATTGGTTATTAGGTCTTGTACTTTTCTTGATGAATTTGAATTGTCAACTAATTTTTATTTTCCTCTTTTTCTCTCTGTTGAACAATGCGCACAAGAAAGAAGTCAACCAAAATAATGTTACACAAACTGACTGCGGTGGACGCACGGGTCATAAGACAGTATGTCGGAGTTTTTTTTTTTAGCCAACGTGCATTAAAATTTCAGCATAAAGCTGGAAGTCTCAATACAGAAGGAAAAAGCGCATATGAGCACAATTTTCCCTCTAAGAGATATGCTGTTTGGTGCTTCCTGAATGGTCGTAACTGTTGTTGCACCAAATAATAGATCTCCTTGAGAGAAAATTGTGCTCATATGACCTTTTTCCCTCTGTATTGAGACTTTCAACTTTCTGCTGAAATTTGAACGATTGTTTGATAAAAAAACTCCAACATACTGTCTTAAAATAATGTCGCTGCGTTGAGTATTTTGGTAATTTGTGAATGATGAACCTTTGTGAACCTGTGAATGATGATGAAAAGTAAAATGAATAAATATTCCAGTGATAATGTGAAAAGTCATTAAATTTATGAATCTGCATATGGGCCTAACTCAGGTGCCTGGTAACACCATCAAGGGGTGGTACTCTCCATTTTGTTGCCTCCGTTTTGTTTCCATCTGATTCTCAATTTGACGAACATTTTTCTTTTATGTTCAGGCCTGTGGCGGAGGAAGTAGAGAAAGCAGTAAGTCAGCGGATTAATTTGCTGGAGACTCCGATGCACATGAAAATGCCCGTCATTGTGACCAACTCAAAGGAGGAAGTGATCGAGTATCCCGGATTCTTTGTCAAGCACACAAGATGTAAACCGCAATTATGCTATGCTGAAAATAAGAAATATCTATCAGAACACTATCAGACACGACAAGAACTCTTTGCCTCATTGCCACCTGATATCAAGATCATTGTACAGAAGTTTTTGAACAGTATTCGTGGTCTGAGGTATGTTGATTCACATCAAGGTCCATGCCCTGAATAATACATGAATAAGCTTGATTTTTTTTTTCTCGATTCTCTTAATAAGCATCAATTTCCCAGAATGCCTTTATGTATCTAAAAGCTCTTTAATTTTTCAATCATCTGGTGATCATTCCTATAGTTTTTGGAATTATCGATTTTCCTTCTTCCCCTGGCAGGGTGTCTACAAGTCCGGAATTTGCGGAAAGTCCGGAAATAGCACTGATTTTTAAGGGCGTTCCGGAAGTACTGAAAAGTGCGAAAATTCCGCAAGAAGGTCCGGAATTTGTTTCATTTTTCTGTTATTTTTGTCCCAATTTTCTGTTGAGGAAGTACTGAATTTCTTATGAATGTACTGAAAAAGTTCTGTAAAAGTACTGATTTTTGGCCAGCCTAATTTACCAGACACCCTGCCCTGGGATGGAGACTTAGAACGTCATATGAGATCATCTGAACGTTATAACCTTCTCTCTGCAGATAAGCAATTGAAAGTTAAAGTGTAGAAAAAAAATATCTTCAATTTTAGGCATTTTTCAAGGCCTTGAATATATATTCGTAAATTTTTGAAAGTCCTTGATTGCAGCAATCAGCCCTGAAAAAATTAGTTGTAGCAGTCCTAGTTTTTGATGGATTTAAAGTGGGTAATTTTTTGCATCCTCTCCTGTTCTGCTTCTAGGAAGTTTTGAGCTCTATATTATAATCGTAATTTCGCTTATATCGCATCTATTTCATATTATTTAATTTAAATTGCGTATATATCCAGGGGCATTCAGAGCTTGGTTGATTTGTAACATTTAATATGTAAAGTTGCAGAAACACCGTCAAGACAGTACCACAGTGGGTCAGTGGTGTCTCAGTTGCAACATCAGCTAACATCATTATAAACTTATGAGCCTACACAATGCAGTCATAGTTTTTTTTTTTTTTTTTTTTTTTTTCAAAAAAAGTAGCACCTTTGATATTGGATGAATATCATCAATACAGTGAAATTTAAATTGTGCTCTTGATTCTTTGCCAGGTTGAAAGATCCAAGCAAGAAAGAAGGAAGCAGGATGAAGGAACAGAGCTGGTATGAGAAAGAATACCTCACGGAATCAAGTCACCTTGCCTCAGAAGATGATGAAATAATTCTTGAAGAATTTGCTGATCCTGTTCTTATGAGCCCAGCAAACGCAACTAATGAACTTGTCGACAAATCTGAGGACCAGCCGCGAAAACCAAGAGTTTCTCGCTTCTCAGACAATGTTGAAGCTGCAAACAGCACATCAATCATCCCTCGCTCCAAGTGGGACAGTGATCACGAATATAGTCCTGAGAGAAACGATGAAAGCAAACCATTATTCCCGATTCAAACAGACTTAGAGCCCAGCCAAATTTTCAAGAGTGAAACTCCTGCTGATAAAAGCAAACCAGAACAGAACAGCCTTTTGGCTGATGAGAGCAAGTTTGGCTCAATTGAAGAAAGCGCTGTATACTCCAAAGGAAAAGAGGAAGCGCACCAAAAAAGCTTGAAGTTGAGTGAAGAAAATGGAAGGCATTCAGTCGAAAGAATTAAAAGTCGCCGTGAAAGTTCAAAACATAAGGAAGGACTTCCAAAGTTGTCTGAGGAGAAAGGAAAAACAGTCAAAGAAAGTTCCAAGTATAGAGAAGAAGGGGTAAGGGCAAGTCCTAGGCCATCGGAAGAACGAAGGAAAGATCGTAGAGAAAGCCTAAAAGTCGAAGAAGAAAGTTACAAATCAAGCCCTGTGCATTCGGTAGAAAGAGAAAAAGATCGCAAAGAAAGTTCTAAATTAAGAGAAGTCAGCCGCAAAGAAAGCCCCAAGCAATCGGAGGAAAGGATAAGAGATCGCAGCAAAAGCTATGATGATAGCCCTAAACTGTCGGAAGAACGTGGAAGAAGTCGTAGAGAAACCCCTAGGTCTTCTGTAGAACAGAGGAGAAACCGTAGAGAAAGTAATCATGAAAGCAATAAAGTTGCAGAAGAAAAGGGGAAAAGTGTCAAAGATAGCTCAAGTCGACAAGAAGAAAGTGAAAAACGCAGAGAAAGCTCAAAACATAAGATCGAAGGTGAGAAGCCGGGAGACAATTCCAAAAAAGACAACAAGAAAGAACCAGGCTCCTCTTCTGATCTCGATGTCTCAAAAAGTGATCATAATGATGTCAGTGATGCGATACATAATGATGACATAGATGAGGATTTCAAAGAAAACGAACGGTATGTAGACCATTTCAAAACTGAAAATAGAAGCAACTCTTCATACAACAAATCCAATCATCAAGAAGCGATAGATTATAAAACTCACAGTGAAAACAGTAATAGCATGAAAAAGTCCAACAGCTCGAAAAGCAATAAGGATAATCGAGAAGAAATCAGTAAAATAAACTTGGAGTATGAAGAGTTTCTTAAAATGGTCTCAGTACCGGAGCCAGAGAACAAAACAGAAAATGTCGATGAAATCGAATCGTCTTCGAAATTACAAAGTTTAACTGCAGAAACTCTAAAACTAGATGTCAACATAAATCCCTTAAAGGCGTTGAAAGATGAAGACCTAATCGCATTAACCAATGCCATGGCGAAAGAAGTAAAGAAATCGGCGAAAGAACAAACTAAAAAGAAAAGAAAGCGAGATTCATCCACTTCGTCTTCCTCGTCCTCTAGTTCCTCATCCTCTTCGTCATCCAAGTCCTCAGGTTCATCCTCTGACTCTGATGACAAGCCAAAGAAAAAGAAGAAACGCAAATCTGAACCACCAACTGAATCCAGCAGTAAAAAGAAAAAGTCCAGCAAAGGATCAAGCAAAAGCAAAAAAGCTGCCTCTAAGAAGAAATCAAAGTCAAAGAAAAAGAGAGCTAGATCTTCCTCGTCTTCATCGAGTGACAACTCTTCGGACAGCGATAGTGGTAGCTCATCAGCTTCAAGTTCAGACTCTGACTCTAGTAGCAGTAGTAGCAGTAGCTCCTCTGCAAAATCCAAGCGAAAAACACTTAAGAAACTTAAGCAATTAAGCCAAAAAATGGCAAAGAGAATCAATAACGGCAAAGATAAAGATTCAGAAAAAGGCTCTGCAAAAAAATCCAGTAAAAAGTCAAAGAAATTGGAAAAAGATAAAGCTGGGCTCAAGAAGTTGATAAAGAAAATCAAGAAGCTTGAAAAAGAAGAAAGTAAAAGGAAAAGGAAGTCGACCACCTCTAGTTCGGAAATAGATGAAAGTAAGCACAAGTCAAAAAAAAGCAAAGGAAATAAAGGATCCCCTGAAGAAGTGAAAAGTCGAAAGACAACCGGAAGTTGGAGTGACTCGGATAATGAAAATGCTAAGCCGTCAAAAAACGGGGTCAGCGGGAAAACAGGCGGCGTTAACGATGAAAGCAAAAGCTCTGAGAAGTCTTTTTTTCGGGAGGATTTTCACCTTGGGAAAGTCAAAGATAAGTACGACAAAAAACTGAAAGATAAAGTGAAAAAGACAGGGAAAAAGAAAAAGTCCAAAATGAAAAAAGATGAAAGCAAAAGTCCGAAGAAAAAACTCACAGGGTCAGCATCGAAGAAAAAGAAGAAAAAACGGCCCGTTGACAAAGGCGGAGGAGCCAAGATCAGCAAGAAGAAAAAGAAAAAGGGTGATAAAGGAGTGGTAGTCTCAATTGAAGAGTTAGAAGCTGCGTTAAAAATAGAAAAATCCCCATTGACCGAAAATGAAACCTTTATTCAACCTCTAGATATAAATATTAAAGTAGAAAAAATAACTCCTGAGAGGTCAACGCAACGCTCACCAACGCCTGAAATGTCTGTCCAAAACTCACCATCCCCCAAGAAAACTGCGCAAGATTCGTCGGAGGATGAAAATGAGTCATCTGATTCTGTTAGGTGTTCAGATATAGAGATACCCTCACCTGTGTGCGAGCCGGATGATGATTCAAATTTTGAATTGACGAAAAATACCGAAACTTGGCAGTCGCCTCTAAAAAGTGACAACTTAGAAAACAATACTGTTGAGAATATGAGTATTAGTGAAGACTCGAATAGCTCCCTAAAAAATTCAATCGAAACTTATCAACCCACAGATCAAGTTTCTAATTTTGAGGAATCAAATTCAGCCAAAAATGAAGTAATAGGTTTTAAGCATGTATCCGTAAGTGATAAATATAGCCCATTTGGAAGTGGTAATTCCGAATCAAACAGTTCGAATGTGATAGCTACATCTTACAACAATTCAAGCTCATCGGCCTCCCAGAAAATGGGTCCTGCTGGTGCTTTAGATATTCCTTTACCACCGCAAGAAAGCAAAGAATACGATCCTGTCTCTGTGAACTCAATGAATACCTCTCAAAATGTATCGTCTATTCCTGTTCCTGTTCCTGCACCTGTACCTCCGCCAGATCCAAACTTACTCTCTGGAGCAAAAATTAATACTACTTCTCCTACGTTGTCGTTTGCCCAGAAATTTTTGACAAAAACATCCGTCACTCCTGAAAAAGAGCCAGCAAAATCACCAACCAAGACTCCGATAGAAAAGACTGATTTCGTTTCTAAACCCGCAACTCTGGATGATGCGATTGATCATCATGAGTCCAACGCGAATTTAGAAGCTCCCAACCAAGACTATGTGGCACCTTCGTCTACCAATAGTGCTTCTGTCAAAGTTTGGAATTTTACTAGTGAAAACGTCGAAGTCAAAAAGAATGAAAGTTTAAAGCCCAAGCGATCCCGCTGGGGAGAGTTACCAAAAGACATGATTTCAGAAAGTGCTCCGGATTCGAACGCAGAACCTCAACCAGAAACAATAACTCCATCTGTAATAGAGAAAACTATCCCTCCAGAGTCTGATTCTAAAACTAGGAAATCTGTGTCTCCAGAAAGGTCGCGTGATCATGATCGGAGCCGAAGAAATTCCTCTCGGAAGCGATCACGCTCAAAGTCTAGAGAACGATCAAGGCGTCATCGCAGTAATAGGAGCAAAGATAGGTACCATTCGAGCTCCAAGCGACGAAAATCAAGGTCTCCATCTACCGAGGGCTACAGTGAAAGAGACCGCAGTCGAAAGCGAAGATCCCCTTCAAGGTCTCGTTCCAAATCACCGATCAAATCCAGGTTTAGAAATCTGTCTCCGGTTGATTATAAATCCAAAGACATTGTACAGAAATCTCACAGGGAGTCTGAGCAACTTCATGGTAGAGTAATACGTAATTTAGAAGATAGCTTTGAGAAGCGGGACATGGATTTGAGCTCGCCAAATGAAATCTCATCACCACTTATGGGATTCAAGCGAAGCCTAGCTGATTCCACAATCAGCGATTCTGAGTTAGTGATGGAAAAAAAGCATATTGTTCGTGAAAGGTCTCCAGAGTTTTCACCGAAACGATTGTCTCTTGATGAAAGACTGGAATTGGAGTTAGGTGTCAAGAAGAGTCCTCCACAATCGTATCCACCGCCTCACCAACAACAACATTCATATTACAGCATTCCGGTCCATGAGGGTTATGCATTTCCTCCTCGTATGGATCCTAATATGGGCATGTATCCTAATCACCATAATCAAATGTCTTCAAATCTTGTGGCAGTCCCTTATGCTGACTGGGATAATCCAGAAGCATTTATCGGTCAGCAATCATCTGGTGTAAGCAACATGACGCAAGTCGTACAGGTGAGTTTAACTTATTGTTTCTTCCTTTCAAACCATGCTCAGAACTATCTTTTGGGTCTCTAATTAATCGATAATAATTCTAATGTCTTCAGTCAATGATAATACTCACTTCAAATCACCAAAAATATCAACCTAAAATTTGACTTTTTCAGTCTAGAATCTTCGGTGCAGCTGAAATGTTAATATTCAAATGGTCATCAATGGACCACCAAATAAGATACAAACTTAGTATTATGATACATGTGTCCTTTTCAAAATTTCGCATAATACACAATTCATGCAAGGAAAATTACTGGAATCAACTGCTTATCAAATTATTAACATTCCATTCAGCATTGGCTGCAAAAAAGTTGAATATCCTGCTCATAAGAAAAATCAGAGTCTACATGAATCAAATAGGGTACGGTTTTAGCGAGACCTGTGTCGCTAGAAGTATAAATGACCTGCAACAGCTGAGTCCATGCCCGAGATGAAAATTGCCTTAATTTTACACTGTAGAGAATGTTATAGTAACGCTTTGTGAGATTTAAGTAACTCAGGTAAATTCTTGTTTTTTTTAGTGGGGGGGGGGGGGGGGGTGAAGTTTGAATTTATGCATAAAAAAAGTTAATATCTTGGTGAGGGGTTACTTTAAAAAAATGTTTGTTGCATGAGTTGTGTTTTACATAACATTTTAATGAGAAAATATTTATCATAATGCTTCAATCTGCACCTGTCAAGTGATCCATCAGCAGACTAATAAAACAATTTTTTTGAATGTAAAAGATTAAAAATTCTCAATTTTCGATTTTTTCTTTCATTTTTTTTTAAAATAAATAAATAAATTTTAAATTGACAAAGAAGTGCAAGTTTACTTTGTAAGCAATACACTCTATAAGCTTAATGGAATTCTAGGCAAAAATGACCTCTGTGTTTGTATTTTTTTCAGGTGGGTAATATGCTACAAGTTGTGCCATCTGAAGTACCTCCGAAAGTGCCTCCTCCACCTTCTACCTCCAGGAAATCCTCCCATAAAACTCCGAAGGTATGTTTGGTTTGTATTGTTTTTTAACTTCACCACAGTGAATCTTTTACTTTAGTAAGAACCCATCTTAGGATCAAATTATACAGAAGATGTTGAAAACTCTGCAAGAAACAGAAAAGTCAAGTCCGAAACCGTTTGCATTTAAAGAGCACCTATCAAAGACTTTCAAAATCGGTGACTGCATTTCGACGGTGTAAGTCGGCAATCACACAACTCGGTTTGCGACGTTGCAGACTTCCTGTCTTACTTTAATTTTTAGACAGAAAACTACTCAACAGCAATTCTTTAAATCTGCCGTGAATTTTCTTCTTGTGCAAAAAAATTCTGCAGAAACTTCAAGGAATGATGTCAATTTGTTCCCTTTTTAAAAAAACAACATAGAGGTGGAGAATTTCAGACACAGCAAACAAGATATGTGATTGCAGACTTGCGCTGTACTGTTGGACTTAGAGCAGTAAAATACATTATTAAATTATTCAGAAATGAATTGTTAAACTAATTGATTTAGAGCGTAGAAATTTAAACAAAAAGTAAAGAAAATTAATTGTTTTGGTTTAGTCTGATTGTTGCTATGAATTTTAAAGTCAGTTTTAAAAAAATGGTGTAGAATCAAGCACTTATGTGCAACTTCAGCTAACATAGCCCTCTTTGATCAATTAGCAATTCTGCCTCACCAGTATTGTTCTGTTATTTTTAGCAGGAATCAGTGTGTGGCACTAAAGTAGTTCAGGTGGGCAATATGCTTCAAGTAGTTCCTGCAATGAGTATGCCAGGTATGCCTCCACCACCGCCACCAGCAGAGCAAACGATTCCTGTTGCATCAGATGCTTCGGCTCCACCACCACCTGCTCCTGTGACGGCTATTCCGTTGTCCAAGGTTGAACTGCCTTTGCCAGTCACAGGTCATAAAATCAAAGACTTGCCCATGCCTCCAGGTTGGTTTACAATTTTCAATCACTCTCGATAACTTATGTTTATCTGTAGTGCCGAAAAGTTGAAATATCCCTTTATCCCTTTATCCCTTTATCCCTACGAGAAGTAGTAGGTATTGAATGAAACATCAAGATCATCCAAAAATTACATTACTTAAAATTTACTAGTTTTTGGCAACGACACGACGACTCTCTTCGAAATTCCACAGTATGGTCCCTGGTTTATCATTGACTTAAAACTTGAAATTTCAAAAAATATCTATATATTTTACTCACTGTAACCTCCATTGATTAAAACAATCGCATTTTATCTGTAATGATGGACATCCTCGGCGACTGCTCCTTAATTAATACTGTTTTATCATTCTATCATGGCATTCTAGTGTAAGTGTAATTCAGATTTTTTGTCTTTCCTGTGACAGAATATTCCATCAAACCCATGCTTTAAGATTAAAAAAGAAGGGGTTCAGGTTTTCTTGTGATAAAAGGTTTTATTAATGAGTTAGTAGTGCGCTGAGTTGACAATTTAACATTTTTAGATTTCAAGTATGGACTGGTGTGGAGCCACTACACTTACACATCATATAAAGCCCTCTATAAAAATGTTTCATCATACAGAGGTTTTTCACTCAGAATTTCACATCTTAGTCTGCATGTCTGCAGTCACACTCGAGTCAACTGTCCGTTGTTTATACACATTATTCATATCGCAGTTTCTTCGCAAGCAATTTAACTAACGCTCTCTCTTAATTCACAGAAATCTCGCCAGCTGAAAAGAGAGAGCTGAAGAAGCTCGAAAGGGAAAAGAGACGCCTGGCGAAAGAAAAACGAAGGCAGCAGAAGATGCGAAGGGCCGCCAAGAAGATGATTAGGGTAAGTGTTTCCCTCGCAATTTTCCAATAAAATACTTACATGTTAATTTTTAACATTCTTTAGTACGTATACAACATTTTCAAGGTGTCGACCCACAGAATAGTACGGCTACCCAGAAAAAGCACGCATTTTGAAAGATGGGTATGGAATCATGAAAATTGCACGGATTTTACACAAAAAGATGTAAAATGTTGAAATTTCTCCAATAAACTTAACGAAGTAGCCGTAGAGATATGCAATTTTTATACGCAGTGAATTTCATGTTGTTCCAGCAAAATCTCAGCTAGATTTTTCTTATTTTAGTCCATTCCTTAAAAATTTTCACTTTCCGAATCCAAATGTCTGTAACCTTTGCTAATAAAATGCGTGTAGTAGTAATACTAGAAGTCAAGTCAGGAAAAAGTGAGGATTAGGCAATGAAAAAGCAAGGAATCCAGGAAACCTCCGAAAAAAGAAATTTTGAGAATCATGGAAAGTGTAAAGAAGAGGTAATGACAAAGCAAGGATTTTGGGTGATGACGTATTAGTAGACACCCTGATTTTGTTTTGATCAAGGAAACTTACAGTCAATATTTACAGAGGACAAGTCAAGGGTGCCATGGCACCCCTTTACTGTTGGTAATCAGATGTTACATAATGAAACTGTTTTCCCTCTGCGTTGAATATAATCCATCAATATTTTTGTTATTTTCAGAAAGCATTGCTTCAGAAGGAAGGACTGCCACCATCAGACTTTGAAGAAGAAGAAATGCGTTTGATACAGGTTTGCATTATGCCTTTCTTATTTTCACCTTATGTAATCCAAAATGTTATTTTTCTTTTACTAATTAGCTCTCTTTTTAAATTGAGAAGTCTCGCTTAAAAATTCGGAAAAAGGGGTGCTCACAAATTTATGCAAATTCTTTTTTAAACTGTTTTTTTAAGCAGATAAAACCCCATTCAGTAAAAATTCTGCCAGCACTCATGGGCAGAGGGTATTGTAGGCCTTCTGGCGTTAAAATCTCAAGTTAGTTCAGATTTTTGACCTCTTTGATGCGCTGAAGTAAAATGGACCCCAACCAATTTAAATCTTCGTATCTTTCGTTAATATTTCAGTGGATGGTAGCTCATCAAAAAGAATGCAACTTGAAGCATTGCACATTTTTTCTCTAAATGCAGGTAATATCTACAGACTGACTCAGTAGCTATGGTATTCTTGCGATTTGTCCACTACTTCAATGCATCGTAATTTGTCATTAAAATATCTCAAATAATAGCTCTGAAACACTAAAAATTTCAACTGTACGTGGAACGTAAGTGGAACTGTAACGATGACGCCTTCTTTCACTTTCTCACAAATGTGACAAGGTTATGTGTCTGTTCACAATGAAACTTTTTAAACTTGATTTACGAAAAATGACTTAACTGCCAAATTAATGCCTTTATGTGAAATGTATGTACCTTTGTGTTGAGATGAATCATTTTAGAAGTACCAAATTTGAACTTTTTTTAATACCAACTAGTCTTTTGTATGTTAAGAAGTGATCATTTTTTCTTGTATGTTCCCAGGATGCAATGGATGAGCATGAACTATCTAGTCTTGACAATGAACTGCCAACATTTCCAACAGTGCACATCCTTGAATCTCCGGAAAACCCGTTACCTTGTCCTCCTGATAAAGGAATCTTGGTTTCACCAGGGTTTAGGTACGATTTGCATACATAGATTCACCTTTAAGGACCACAAAGAGATGACAATTTTTCCTTTTTTCTAAACTCTGTGCGTAAAATAACAGTCCAACAAACCCAGGCCAAACACAGCACAGCCCTAATGTTTGTCGGATACTTGTCCTTCAGTATCCGTAAAATTCTTGAAATTACTCTGAAGTGTCTCATTAGGAGACAGTTTAATCCAGGAGGGATTGGTTTACTGAGAAATGTTCTTTAGAATTTAAGATAAAAGTATTGAACATGTTAAAATCTGTATAAAAACCATCACCCCTTACGTTTGTTGGGGGCATCAAAAATACTTTTTAATTAAACTGCTTGTGAATCTGGACTGTCATAAAAATCATCTCTGCAATGCAGGGTTGATTTTTGAACCCCCCAAACAATGCAGTCTTTTTAGCAGAGGTCAATCCCATCAAAATAAAATTTTTATTTACTGCGGTACTAACAACTAATCGTATTTCTAATCAAGCATCTGTGATTCAAGTTTGATTTAAAGAGCATAGTATGTATCTTACTATGTTCTTTGACTTATCATCTTAACTTATTTGTGATTTGCGTTCCTTTCCATATTTTTAGGAAGACCAGTGTTGATGCTAAGGAAGCAAAATCACTCAATGTATCGTTTGCTGATGGAGTTAAACCAGGAGAAGGCTCTTCTCCCTCTGGTGCCGAAGATCACCCACCTTCTCCTCCTCCTACCCTTTCAGTAAGGATCTTTGTAATTATTATCTCAGACTTTGAATTTTCTGGAATATTTCCAGATTTGTTTTCCAAAATATTCCACGTATCAATGCAAATGAATTTGAATTATTTTTCTTAGCCTTGTAATTTAGAAGATTTTCTCATGACCTACTCCTCAACTGTTTTTAAATGCATGTAGAACAATCGTTCCAGAGACCCCTTCGTGGAGTCTGTATAGTGTATCTGTAATTCTACATACAGGCACGATTTTTTCATCGGTATCCAGTGGTAGTCAAGTTTGCCTGAAGAAGAAAGAAAACCTATCATTAACAAAAAAACAATCTTGCAAATTGTCATCGTGTCTCTTTATTTGTAAAGAATATGCAAAAACAAGTGCCTAAAATTAAAGCGCCAAATTCTGTAGTTATTGAAATTTCTTTTTTTTTCCATCTCTTTCTCTGGACAAAGCATGGAATTCTAAGAAAAAAGTATGTTGTGTGGTGTTTTAAAATTCATATCTTGTCCAAAGGCGCATTCCTGCAAAGGACAAATTTAAAAAAAAATTCTGAAGTTCAAATTCCCTTGACTAAACAATTTTACACATTAGGTAGATCAGAGTTCTATCACTTAAACGTTTGTTTGAATTGCTGCTTCCGCTTTGGCTTTGCAAATGGCTCTCTTCTATATGTGCCAATAAGTCAAAGTAAGGTTGATTTCTGATTGCATTCATTCAAGGATTCTGCTGTATGCTAAAAACTATCATTGATTTCGTTTTCAGGGTAAGGAGAAGAATAAAAAGCAGAAAACCAATCAAAAGAAGAAAAAGCAGAAGGTGAAAGTTCGGATCATTCGAGTGAACGAAAAGGCTAAGAATTCGAAGTCACCAAACTCCGAAGGGGCAGAACGGAATGAAGATAATGATGCAGAGGATGAAAATGATATATCGCCTCCACCCCCTCCTCCAGGAACTCCACCTCCGTCTGCGCTGTTCCCGCCACCGCCCATTCCAAACCACTACCCTCCAAGTTTTATCTTCTCTCAGACGCATCAGCAATTTGCCAACAGTAAGTTACCTCACTAGCATGACTTTAATTCTAAGTAGTTGGGAAAGTAAAAACCAATAAGTTTTAAGAAATGCCCATATTGATTTGGGTCGCTTGCTCGGAAGGTATTGGCGTTTAAGATGGGTTAGTCTTGAACATTCTTCCAGTCATAAACATTCAGAAGACTTCTTGAAGGCAGCATTGATACAATTTTAAGCACTTGGTTTTCTTCTTTTTTTTTTAATCAATTATTTTTCTAAAAAGGTAGTTTTGCACTCTACAATGTTAATTTCACTGCCTTGAGTGACCATGACGTCAATCGCAGCAGAGAAATAGCGTGGTAGAAGTGCTATTGCAGTGGCAGGGATATTTCTGGACACTGTATTGCCTTTCTCTGGAATTCGCATTCAAAAAAGTGCTGAAAATATGTAATTTTAAACCCATTTTTTGTGGCTCAAAGTCATTTCGTCCGGAGAAAATTCCTGCGCGCTTAATGTCCGCTCCACTTTTCAGGAATACAAAAATTCAGCATTACTGAAAAAGCCCATTTTGTGTCCTAAGTATTGCGAATGATTTCGTTTTGTCAATAAATTTTGGAGAGCCACCTTTTCTCTTTCCAGGTCTCTAACTCATTTGAGAAGATGGCATTTTTTCTTGTGAGCTCCAGTTTTTTTGCTCAATTTCCGATCTCACTCATTCTTTCTGCCAAATTACTCACGTCTAATTAATTTTCTATTTTTCTTTTCAGCACTGGCAAACGTTGACTTCACAGCTGTAATGCACTCCTTGCAGTTCATCAAACCCATTCAGTCTGCCACGAAGTAGGAGCATTTCATCGAAGACACTCAATTCAACTTTAGCCGACTTAGAGACGGCTCTTGTTCCTGGAAAGACTCATCGCGAGCCTTCCAACAGTCAGTCGGGTCGGAGTGATATTGCATGCCCTATGCATGTAAAGTAGTAAGCATGGTAAAGTAAAGCAGGCTGAAAATCTTTCCATGTTGGAAATTCGTATCTTTTACCGGAAGTGTTGACTTCAGTACCTTGAGACTTGGACAGTTTCTAAAATTTGTCCGGAGGTTCTGAACCTAACCTACTCTTTACCTCAAAGAGTAACTTAAGTCTCTATGTAGGACGCTTGATCGTCGAGTTTTAAACATACTTAAACTGGTTCTTTACGCCAACAAGTCATTATATGCAGATCTTTTATTTTACAAATAGATTTATTTTGCAGTGGATGACTATCAAATATCCTGAGTGTGCGGCATCCCACATACCTTTTTGAATACATTTCTTCTTTTAAATTTTTATCCTGTGATTTCTATAAAGTTTTCGTCATTTTAAGTTTTACGTTCGGAGGTCAAGCTCAGTGAACCCCTTGCCTTGTTTTCATTTTCCTTTTTTTAAGAATCGATATTGGTGGTTTGTAGTTTGTATTTCTAAACCTGCACCACAGAGTTCTTACCATGTTCAAAATAGAACTGTCTGATACATTGGTGCTGTTTTACTGGATAGACAGAAGCTCAATTTATGGCTCAGAATAAAAATATAAGTATGTCTTTGTAAAAGTGATCTATTGTGGGGCGAGGGTAAAAATATGGGGGAAATGGGAAACAGGGAGGGTTAAAAATTGGTCTAGAAGGCAAAATGTTGGTGTCATAAAATTGTGCTCTTGCGTTTATACCTTTGGTAGAGATCAGCAAATAATCATGAAGCCTGTTCAGCTGCCAAGTTTCCACTTCTAATACTAACGTAGCTAATTCCCATTTTGGAACGCAACTGCCCATTGAGTTTTTTCAAAGGATGATACATCCGTTAATATTGGATGCAAGTAACCTTCATTTGACAGACTTTTTCATTTTCTTACCAATAAAATTTATTCCGTTTAATACAATTTGTGGAATCAGTAATCGACAGGTAGGGTTGTGCAAATTTCAGAACGCACGATAATGTTGTATGCGTTACCTCTTCTTTTTGAACTTGGCTCTAAAGTCTGATGAGAACGCCGGAAAATTTAGATGCTTAACACTTGAGTAGCCAAATGTCAATTAGAAGATCTTTTAAATGGTTCAAAATGATAGTGCGTTTCCACTTTTCAACAGAACATTGCTTCTCATTACATATGCAGTCATTACTTCACTGCAGCTCGAGACAACAGCTACCCTGCAGAACAGTGCCAGATATATTTTATTAATTATTTTTTGAACTTCGAAGTCATCCATCAATTTGAGACTAATATGTCGAATCATTAAGAAGTTCTTTCGTTTATTCAGCTAAAGGACAATTTTCAAGCTTCAAAAGAATTCATCCAGCTATTTGCATTTGAAATAGCTGTATATTAAAGAACTACATGTATATTTTTTTTTTGTCTTTTGTTTGTTTATATTTTATTTTAGTTATATGTCCAATGTACATAGTTTCAAATCCTTGTTAGCATCATGCTGAAAGCGAACTTCTGTTCCTCTCTTTTTCTTTTTCGATCGTTGTCTGAATAATGGAATGTTTTTCCATCTGAAAATTGGCTCCGAAATCTCTTTTGCTAACGAATGAAAATGTCAGTGGAACGCATGTAATTCGGAAGTAATCTCCTACCTAAGAGAATGTACTTATTTTTTCACCTTTCTTTCTGCTTCAGGTGAATCCTTAGTAAACCATACCATAGTCGAATGGAAGATGTTGCATTTTAAGGAGTAGAATGGAGCAATGAACATTACATTCAAATATTTTTTGCTTTAAATTTGAAGTTTTTCAATCCAGTGTCTCAAGGCAAATGATCCTCTAGTTATTATGGATATGTTTTTTCTGAAAGTTTCAAGGGAAGTCTGATAAGCCAAAAGTTGACTAACAACAGGAAATCTTGAGCAATGGATCGGTTGCACCAGGTACAGAATCACTGTTGACGCTTTAAGCATATTGACTAGCAAAGAATAATATGGTATGTCCTAATACCTTGTCTTTTCATCCAATATTGATGATGATATTGCCCTTCAATTAAACTCAGTATATTATGTCATCCACTACAGTAGTACATGTACATACTGTGGTCTTTCCCACCTTGATTTCATCAATTAGTGATACAGACTCTTGCTTTGGTTGTTGCCCTTGAAATACGCCTGAAACCAAAGTGGAAGAAACCATAGTATGCACCATTTACGCGGATGACATCATATGCCGTATTTCATGAAAAGCGATACATTTGTCAATATTGGATAGGGAAACTGGGTGTTCGGCCTGATCCATTATTTTTTGCTGATCTTTAAAATCATCAATATATGATTCAGTATCTAGGGCAACTGAGCCATTCTGAAGGCCAAATTTTGAGTCAAAGGAAGTAATTTGAAGGTAGTATGCACTGTCACTCATAGAATGATTTCCCTTCAGCATGTAATTATTGATCAATATTTTAAGTCTGAAAGAAATGAATTAGTAAAGATTCAAGGTGTCTTTGTAATTCAAGGATTAGCATACATGTGACTATTCATAATATTTTGTGCACAACTGTGACTAGATAGTATTTGTCGATCAGAAATCTCATGCTTTCGACTCACCCTGTAATTATTTCGTTTTTCTCAAAATGAAATAAAAAGAAGCACGAGCAAATATTGGAGCCCCCTTTTAAGGAGGTTGATTTGAGACTTTTACTTATTTTTTGAATACTTGGGTCAGTTTCTGTTATTTTCTCATATTTTTGTATGATAGGATGCTACGCTAACTATTTTTATGTCATGATGTAAGGAACTAAATTGTTTTAAGTCACAAATAACTTTGCAAGAAACTTTGTAAATAAGGTCTTACTTATGTCTGGAAAGAGAGTAAAGTAAGGTAATCACATGTAATAACATCAGCCTCTTCACTGTCGTTGGTTTGTTACTCTGTAAAGTAAAATAAGTTTATACTTACTCAAGTATTATTTCTTTTAGACCCTTACGTACCAATTTCTTTGGGGGTAAATCTAAACAAGCAAATTTAAGAGGAATCAACCTAACTCGTCAGATGTTGCCAAATTTATTTTTCAACTGGAAAGCCAGGGAAAACGTGCAGAAAGTTCACCAGTATGTTCTTTAGTTCTCTGTTAAAAAAATTAAACTTAAAAGGAAACTAAGGAACATAAAATAAAATTACGCTGTTCTCAGTGAAGTCCTTCCAACTGACAAAGGGAACAGGAAAAGCTCCTCTCTCTGCCGTTGGGACATATCTGTTATCTTGATTAGGAGTAATTACTCTGAACCAGGAGTCAAGAGGAAATACCAAATAATGTAAATTCCAAAGTTAAAAAGCTGGCTTTTTTCTCTCCAAGAAAATCAAATAGGAACGGAAAGTTTGAAACTTTGAAATGGAAATATGTTGTCTCAAACTTTGGCCATAGACGCAGTTGAAAAAGAAATAAAATGAGTTTAAATACTATGGTTATTGAATCTTCAGAAGAAGGAATCCACATAAAATGAAATACATACGCAAAACTGGAAAAAAAAGAGATGTATTTATTATTGCTTGAAAAAATAAATTAAATCAGGTATGATATAGCTCAAATGTACAAAAATTAACAAAAATAAATACCTAGTAAAGCAATTACTTTATACAAAAGATGAAGACAGGATCAACATTTTTAAAATTGAAAAAATATTTTCATGAAAATTAATGAGCAGCCTATAAGCAACAATATATGTGTATATAATCAAAAATTGTACTAAAATTGCCGGTTGTTGCCTTGAAAACGTTCACCTCAATTATAGAATAGGCCAGCTATCAAATGAGATAGGAAGGTATCATAGATTTTTAATTTTTTTCTTTATTTTGCGCTCTAAATTATCCATCTTTAGCCGATGAGGAATGCAATTCTCTTATTATTCAATAATTCCATTAGACCCGGGTCCAATTTTTGGCTGTTACGAAACAATATGGTCACCATTATTTAGCAATCTTTCACACTCAAAAATTTAATTGACAATTTTGAAAGATTATAGAAAATTTTTTCAATTGATTGTGATAAATCTGTTTTACAGTACAGTTAAGGAGCAGTTATAAAAGAGTGAGAAATAATTTTTCAAGTAAATTTTACAGCGGAGGAAATTTGTGAATTCGAATTTACCGATTCAAACTTATAGTTGCTGCAATAAAAATCTTGACCACAACTGAGCGACTAAACGGTCTTTTTACATCATTCATATTCATGTTCAGTCTAATCTTAAGTGGCTTTACACCTAGGTGGCTAAAGGCTAGGATAAACATAGAATGATAATGCGATTTGCAGGTGCCCAAAAATCACTGTGTTCAAACATAACAGTAGGGCGGAAAAAAGGGTTATCAGATTCGCGTTAATTATTGTGAAAATATTTTGTACAGAACATGACAGGTTTTGTGAAGCGACAATTTACATAAAAAATTGAGAATAAATCGGTGATATTAAATCGGATTAGGTATGGTATTGACAATAGGTATTCTAGCAGCTTCATTCCTCACAAAAATTTCAAGTAAGATGGGTGATAGGATGCGATAAATTTTCTGTCTTTCAATGAATACACAAATTTCTTCCTTTCTTTTAAAGATTAATCTGGATGAATCGAACAGAGAGGGTACATCAGGTTGAAGTAGATTCCCAAGAGGACCTACTTACAGAAAATGAAACGTACAAAAGTCACAGTAAAATAAAATCTATACAAAAATAATATTCCAATTTCATTATTTACATCTTAGGCCTACAGTGAGGAGCTCTTAACAGAAACAACTATTTACAAACAGCGCCAAGATCCATTACAAAATGATCGTACTACTTAAATATGTGTGCCTATAGCTACAAGAATTCGTACGAAAAATAAATTAACTTCATCAAGACATTTACTTTGTGCAAGTGCCTCAAGATTCACAAAAAGTAAGGGTTCTTTTTGTTCATAAAAGATTACGATGCAATCAAACTCATTGTTGGCCTAATTACTTTAGAACCCAGAGGGCAGGCGAGAGAAAAAACTACGGATCTCAATTGCAACATTTAAACACCTCCAATTATGTTTATTTTCTTCAAGGAATATTAATCAAAATGTTTTCTTTAAATTTCGTTTAATTATTTTTAGAATAAACGAGGAAAGTCCACAAGAAATTTCAAAAGGAACTGTTGTAGTCCGAGAGCCAGACGACTTTGAGTGACAAACTCGGGATACATGTTTTGACCCCCTAAATCGATAGCCTTGCATGCACTGAAACGGAAAATTTTTGTCTGCCGCCCTCTAGCCTGTGCCATCACCCTCATCTAGGCCCTCAAAGTGGTCCAAAAAACACCATCTGGTGACAAACTCCTGACGCT